CAGACTGGCAGCACAACAGTGATCGACAAAAGTCGGAAACTGAAAGCGAGCCGCTAAATAGCTCGCCACTCTCCGTGCGAGTGAAAGTGATGCAGACTCCGGCCGGAGAGGTCGCCTCTATCGCCTCGGCCTTCGTTTTTCGCGGCATAACCGTGGCGCCATGGGCTGCCATGGGCACAACGCGCCATTCAAGTTGAAAGTAGTCGCTCGGCTTCGGCTCCCTTCGCACCTCCCGGCTGGCTGGCGGGCTCCGGCACACTGATTCCGAGAGTCGTTTTCGTCGCTCTGTCTCTCTCGCACCCATACGGGACGCGCCGCGAGTGCGAGAGAGACAGCTGGCCGGGCGTTCCGCGGGGCGTTCCCTTCGGAGTAATGACCGCCACTGACCACTCGAGGCGCGTAATTAGCGGCATGCAGACCGCCGAGTCCGTCGCTCTGTCTCTCTCGCACTCGCGGGACGCGCTCCATGAGTGCGAGAGAGACAGAGCGACGCGCTGGCAGCCAAGGCGGAATGGAACACAGTGTGGAACACACTCCCGTCGACAAGGCCGGGCCGGGCGACCCGCGCCCCGTGCGATGCTGGCTGCACACCGAGTCCGTCGCTCTGTCTCTCTCGCACCCGGACGGCACGCTCCGTGAGTGCGAGAGAGACAGAGCGACGAAAACGACTCTCGGAATCAGAGTGCAGGCCGTGCATGCAGCCTGCAGTGGCGTGGCGGCACAGCGCTGCAGCGCCCAGCTTGTCTACACACGCCGAGCCAAATCCAGATTCCCACCCGTCTGCTCCGAGTAAAGTCGCACGGCGAGGGGGACCAAGGGGGGGGGGGGATATCAGCCTGTGTCGAACTTGCAGCCAACCAAACCCGCTCTGAATTCGACGGGGAACAAAGAAATCGGACCCGTTTCAAGGATTTCAGAGAGCATCCTTCACCCTGCGAGAAACCAAGCCTGGTCTGAGCGCGGGGGGGCGGGGGGGGGGCGTCGCACAGTGGGCCAGAAGACCGGCGGAGACGGCCAAAACTCTGGACGCGTTTTGAGCTCCAGAGTCGCTAAATGGGACTCGAACCGAACGTGTGACCCCACCAGTGGATTGCTCTCCGAACGAGGAATCCATTCGTGGGGTCACACGTTTGGTTCGAGTCCCATTTAACGACTCTGGAGCTCAAAACGCGTGTAGAGTTTTGGCCGCCTCCACCGGTCTTCTGGCCCACTGTGCGTCGCGGTCCCTCGCGGTCGGCGCGAATTAAATTGTGACGTCACTCCAACCGATATCGAGGCTGTTTCTTCGTTTTGCCGCGCGCCACAAACTCCTTCTAGCCAATGGGCACGGGGCGCGCGGCAGACCGATTCCGTCGCTCTGTCTCTCTCGCACTCACACGGCGCCCCGCAGGGGTGCGAGAGGGACACCACCGCTGGCAGATCCTACTTTGCCACTCGCAAACAGAAAAAGAGTTAAAAATTAAGCTATGATTGTTTTCATTTTGCATTCCGAGCGCCACTGTTCCGACAAGTTGTGCGTTTGTTTTTTATTGTGCTGCTTGTTGCTGTTTTTGTTTTTTCCTTTTTTGCAGTGTCGCGGAGCTGAGGCGACGGGCGACACGCATTACACGCGAGTCAACTGCGGGCGACTGCGGCCCACCGCGGCCCATACCGGGAGCCGTGCCGAACCAGAAGGACGCGCAGCCTGTCAAAACAGCGCTATTTGTATAGGACCCACTCGCCGGCGGGAGGAAGGCCTTTAAAACAAGCCGGCCAGTATGAATCCGACGGGCAGGACGGGCCCAGACAAAACACGGCGCCGGCCCGCTCGCCGGTGCGGTGGCCGAGGGCGCCGGGGCGTCGAACTCCAGTGCGGAGTCAAAGGTTCAATTCCCGGAGCCACAGAACGAAAATCAAGTAAAATTTAGTCCTGCAATACGTACTTGTACTACTGAAACCAGCCAGACGCACCATCCCGCCCGCAGCCAGCCCTATATATTGTAAGATACGCACTGTCTGGACTCTCAAGTAAAGCTAGCTGACACCTTAGTGTCATGTTTTATGTAGTTTGAAGTATTGTCATCTGCTGAACTGTTTAAATTTAATTATGACTTTTTTTCCGATGTGGCCTTAACAGGATCACGGGGAAGCCGCAGCCGACCTCGGCCCCGATGCCGTGCATGTCCACACTGGCACGGCTAGTACCAACACGTGCCAGCCGAGTGATTCAGAAGATCGCTTTGTCGCTCTGTCTCTCTCGCACCCTTACGGAGTCCCCATGAGTGCGAGAGAGACAGAGCGACGAAACGACTCTACGGAATCGCTCAGCAGCTCACTGGGTCTGTGTATTTTGTTTCATACACATTTAAATACTATCTTTGGAATGATCCGCGTACTACCCGTATAAGAAAACCAAACGAGTATCATCTGCTTTCATTAACGTTCGTTGAATGAGATTTTTTATTGTGCTGCTTGTTGCTGTTTTTGTTTTTTCCTTTTTTGCAGTGTCGCGGAGCTGAGGCGACGGGCGACACGCATTACACGCGAGTCAACTGCGGGCGACTGCGGCCCACCGCGGCCCATACCGGGAGCCGTGCCGAACCAGAAGGACGCGCAGCCTGTCAAAACAGCGCTATTTGTATAGGACCCACTCGCCGGCGGGAGGAAGGCCTTTAAAACAAGCCGGCCAGTATGAATCCGACGGGCAGGACGGGCCCAGACAAAACACGGCGCCGGCCCGCTCGCCGGTGCGGCGGCCGAGGGCGCCGGGGCGTCGAACTCCAGTGCGGAGTCAAAGGTTCAATTCCCGGAGCCACAGAACGAAAATCAAATAAAATTTAGTCCTGCAATACGTACTTGTACTACTGAAACCAGCCAGACGCACCATCCCGCCCCGGCAGCCAGCCCCTATTATATTGTTAAGATACGCACTTGGTTTCTGGACTCTCAAAGTAAAAGCTAGCTGACACCTTTATGTGTCATAGTTTTATGTAGGTTTTGAAGTAATTGTATCATCTGCTGAAACTGTATTAAATTTAATTTATGATTTATTTTTTTCCGGATGAGTGGCCTTGAAACAGGGATCACGGGGAAGTACCGCAGCCGACCTCTGGCCCCGATCTCCCGATCCGACTCGTCATTGTCCGCACCGTGGCACCATGGTGGCACTACCAGTGTGGGCGCCAGCGAGGGCCCTGAATAATATCGAAACGGGCCCGGCCTGTCGAAACCCTCCCCCCCCCCCTTCCCGCGCGGATGAGCCCTTCGCCAATCACAATGTCGCTCCGATTGCGCGCCCTCCGCCGTTTGGATTTGCATGCATGCACCAATGGGCGCCGAGCCGCCAGAGCCTCTCGTGAGCTCTTGCTCGTATGTTTGCATGTGCGCCGTCTGCCTGTCTATCTGTCTGTCTGTGTCTCCCTCCCCCTCTCTGTCCGTCTGTCGGTCCGCCGTGCCCGTTTATCCGAGCGAAGGGCCGCGTCAATGGAGACAAAAGTGATAGTGTTCGCCGCCCCGCGCGTCTGGTCTGCCCGCGACGACGCACAGTGGGCCAGCCAGAAGACCGGTGGAGGCGGCCGAAACTCCAGACGCGTTTTGAGCTCCAGAGTCGCTAAATGGGACTCGAACCGAACGTGTGACCCCGTCAACGGATTGCTCTTCGAACGAGGAATCCATTGGTGGGGTCACACGTTCGGTTTGAGTCCTGTTGAGCGACTCTGCAGCTCAAAACGCGTCTGGAGTTTCGGCCGCCTGCACCGGTCTTCTGGCCCACTGTGCGACGCGGTCGCCTCGCCGCCGCACCGTCTGCAGGAGTACCGGTCCCGCTGCTGCCGGCCACAAATTAAATTTCGCCAAAACTTTCCGCGGTTACGCCTTACACTCCGGCCGGCGCCGCCCCTCTCATCAAAATGCCGATGAAGATGAAATAAATAAAACGAGAACGAAGCCGTCGGTCGTCTATTTCCTCGTCGGCAGGCATCGCGATCCGCCTGCCGCCCCGCCCGGCAGGCAGCCAGGCAGGCAGCCAGGCAGCCAGGCAGCCAGGCAGCTACCCGCCGCGAGTTCAATCTACTTGTCTCGAAAATGGAAATCGCCCCACAACGAACCAGCGGGCTGATTTGGAGCAGTGCCTCTCTGTCCCGCTCGCACTCGAGGGCGTCGCGTGGGGGTGAGAGAGAGAGAGAGAGAGAAGAGAGAGAGAGAGAGAGAGAGAGAGAGAGAGAGAGAGAGAGAGAGGGGCGAGGGTGGCGAGGGTGTCGGTGTCAACAGCCGGAAACGAAGGCCGAGGCGGTCATGAAAAATGTCGGCGCACCCCGTCGACGCCATGCTTCATCCCGGGGTACGCCTCTCGGCGAGGCCTGCGGGCTGAGCCCGAAGTGACGGTCTCTGTCTCTCTCGCAGCCCTGTGGGACGCCCCGTGAGCGCGAGAGAGACAGAGCGAGGTGAGACTCCGGATGCAGCCCGCAGGGTGCCGGCCTGCCGGCGTGCGTGATGGAGACGCGCGTTGGTGAGTCACGGCTAAGAGCGGCCGCACGCCGCGCACGCCGCGCACGCCGAGCAGGTCGCACGATCAAAACAAAGTCCGCCGCCAGCGAGCGGCGAGCAGCGAGCCTCAGGTGTGCGGAGGATTCTTTTTTCTAAAAGAAAATCTTTCCTTCCGTCTCAGTTTGCCTCATCAGAGTCGGGCTTCCTGGTGTGGGTCAAGAAGTCGAGACGGACTGGGGAGGGCGCCGAGGAGCGCCGAGGGCGGGCGTCACAGTGGGCCAGAAGACCGGCGGAGGCGGCCAAAACTCTGGACGCATTTTGAGCTCCACAGTCGCTAAATGGGACTCGAACCGAACGTGTGACCCCACCAAGGGATTGCTGTCGGAACGAGGAATCCATTGGTGGGATCACACGTTCGGTTCGAGTCCTGTTTAGCGACTCTGGAACTCAAAACGCGTCTAGAGTTTTGGCCGCCTCCACCGGTCTTCTGGCCCACTGTGGGCGTGCAGCCTGCTGCTACCTTGAGTGCTACTCACCGGGGTAGATGGCTCTGAGGCCGCCGTCCAGCTCCTCGAAGATGCCGCTCACCAGGCCGCCGACGAGGCCCGGGTTGGAGCCCTTGGGTCCGAGGGGCGCGGGCAGGATGGAGGTGATGGGGCGCACGATGCCCTGCACCACCTTGCCCAGCAGCGCCACGGGGGACTTGTTGACGGCCGTGGTGCTGCCGGACGCGCTCGCGCCGCCGCCCACGTTGATGGAGAAGGTGCCCGAGACGGTGCCCGCGGGGTTGTAGGTGCCCGCGTTGCTGCTGCTGGAGCCGCCGGCCACGCCGCCGCTGCTGAAGGCCGTGGCGCTGCTGCTGGCGAAGCTGCCGCCGCTCGTCGAGGGCGCCACCGCCGCCGGCCGCGAGAAGGTGCCCGACAGTGTGCCCTGCTGCGAGCCGGCGCTCGCGACGCCGCTGGACGCGGAGCCCCCCGTGGGGGCGGACAGCGGCACCGACGCGGCGGGGGCGGCAGCGGCGGCAGGGAAGCCGCCCCTGACGCCGACCAGGGGCACTTCCTCGGTCACCTCCACCACGCGCTTCGGGCTGGCCGTCGTGGGCCTCTGCGTGCTTGGCGGCGGGGGAGGCGGGGGAGGCCTGAAGACGGGGGTCGGGGGCGGTGGCGGCGGCGGCGGTGGCCTCGCCGTCGTCGTCGTGGTGGTTGGTGGCGGCGCCGGTCTGAAGACTGGGGGCGGCGGTGGTGGTGGCGGCCTGAAGACCGGCGGCGGCGGCGGCGTGGTGGTTGTCGTCGTCGTCGGGGGCGGCGGCCGGAATGCAGGGGTGCTCGGCGGCGGCGGGCGCGTTGGGGGTGGCGGCGGCCGCGTTGGAGGCGGTGGTGGCCGCGTTGGGGGCGGCGGGGGCGGTGCCGTGGGCAGGTTGATGCGCGTGCCCAGTGGGATGGCGTTGCTCTCGGAACCGCCGTCACCGACGATGATGTTCTCCTCGTCGGCCTCCTTCTTGTGCAGGATGTACTTCTCGTAGCGCTTCTGGTAGTCCAGCTTGGCGCGGTCCTTCCACGACAACTTGGGCGTCGTCGCCTGGTCCTGGGCCGAGGCCGCGGCCACCAGCACCGCGGCGACCATCACCGCAGCGGTGACTTGCACGACCTGCAACAACAAAAGGCGTCAATGTCAGGCCGCCAGGCCGTCGGGCGTGGGTTCGAACCCCGGCCGCGGCAAATTGCCTTCTATTTTTCGGGGCCGCGTCAGATTGCCCGCGGCTGGCTGGCGGGGCGTGTGGTTTCATTCCCACCTGACGTGCACTGCAACCCAACCGTGAACCCGGTTCGGCTCGGCTTGCGTCTCACTTGCGTCCCGCGAGACCGCGAAGCGAAGCAAGCGAAGCGAGGCGCGGCGTACCGATGTATAAGGCGTTCGTTTTCAAGTCATGAATAATTTTCGGCTTCGGCCGCCCCCAATGGCAGTCGGGGCAGTCGCAATGTCGCCGGCCGGCCGGGCGGGGCTGCAGGCCGATTCCGTCGCTCTGTCTCTCTCGCACTCACGGGGCGTCCCGTGGGGGTGCGAGCGAGACGGGGCGCTGTCCGGAATCAGGTCGGCCACAGTGTGCCACACACGGCGAGGCGGCGAGGCGGCGAGGTGAGAAAATGACACAGCTCGGCGACCATAGCACTGCAGAGCGCGGCCTGGGCGCCAACAACACCGACTTACAATGCCCGCGGGGCAGCCGGCCGCGCCGCGTCCTTCCCAGTCCTTCCGTCGCCGCGTCGCCGCGCGCCAGGACTTGCAGTGCAGTGCTTTAAATGTCAAGACGCCTCGCCTTTCCTCGAGATCCTTTCGGCCGATAAGGCCTGATTCAGAAGGGCGCTTTGTCGTCTGTCTCTCTCGCACCGACACGGCACGCCCCACGAGTGCGACAGAGACAGGGCGACGAAAACGACTCTCGGAATCGGTCTGCCCGCAAGGCCCTTCGTTCCGGTCCTGCGGCTCTTTTCCTCCGTTTTCCCCCTTTTTCCTGACGAGCAATTTTCCTCTCACGGGGATCCCCCCGGCCCTGGTCGAAGAATACGACGCTACGACGGGCAGGAGATGAGAAAAATGTCTAAGGTCAGGGCTCATTTTATTACACCTATCAGTCATACGTGAGGATGAGGACGGTTATTTACATTTGCAAGCCAGATACACACGCACACACACACACACACACACACTGGCTCGGTACCCGCGGCGCGCACACTGTGTTCCGGCGTGGGAGCGAGAGAGGGAGACGCACAGAGGAAGGGAAGGCAGGGAAAGAGACGGCAGAGATGATGATCCCACTGCGCTGCCCGGCGCTGCCTTTCCAGCACCGGCCCAGCCTTGGCATGGATTGGCCAGCCTGTCGCTCCGTCTCTCTCGCTCCTGTACTGAACGTCCCTTGAGTGCGAGAGAGACGGAGAGACGAAAGCCGTGTGCGGAATCACTACGCCGCCGCACCTACACTTGACCAGAAATCCACTGGCGCCTCTTCAGACGCGGCCTCACCGACTGATTCCGCGGGAAGGCTCTCTCACTCGCACTCATGGGACCGACGCACAGTGGTCCAGAAGACCGGCGCCGGCGCAAGCGGCCAAATATCTAGACGCGTTTTGAGCTCCAGAGTCACCGAACAGGACTCGAACCGAACGTGTGACCCCCACCAATGGATTCCTCGTTCGGAGAGCAATCCATTGGTGGGGTCACACGTTCGGTTCTAGTCCCATTTGGTGACTCTGGAGCTCAAAACGGGTCTAGTGTTTTGGCCGCCTCCACGGGTCTTCTGGCCCACTGTGCGACGGTCGCACCCGTCGGGTAGGCAACCCGCAGACAGCCCAGCAGACTGGTTCCGAGGGTCGTTTTCGTCGTCCCCTCTCGCTCGCACTCGTAGGGCGTCCCGTGTGGGAGCGAGAGAGACAGAGCAACGAGGACGCCTCTCGGAATCAGTCTGCTGCTGGAGTGGACTGCCCTGGCTGCCCACCCCGCACACAATCCCACAATGCACCGCAGCGGAAGGTCAAGGCGCTGCGAGGCTGCGTTCGAAAAACAACAACACTGTTGTCTCTGTCAGAGCGGCGCGCAACGGCACCCGCTAACTGCGGCGTCGAGGCTGCGTCCGAGAAACAACAACAACAACAAACCGCCTCGAGTTGACTTTGTCCAGACAGAGGCTGGGCTTCCGAACGCGTTAACCACTGCGGCGGCCCGTTGGCCAGTCGGCCGCGGGCGAGTCTTTTTTACGGCGCTGCTGTCTCAAGGACGATGCGCTCATGAACATACCGGAGGCCTTCCAGTGCAAGTGTGTCTATTTTCGTTTTTGTTTGCCGCGTGCGTCCGTACCGGTCCATCCTTCGAAGATCATCCCAGACGATCGAGCCACGTTCGGCCGGCTCTTCGACTTCACAGCAGCGGACGCACTACTACCAACTGCGATCCAGGCTCGTTGCGGTCACATGTTTGCGGCGGGTGCTCTCCGGTTTTACGGCCCGCAGCGTGATTAGCGCAGTGGTGGAACACACCTGGTCAGAAATAAACGGGCGATCGGGGCAAGCAGCCACACTTGACCGTGACACGGTGCAGAGCAGTCGGTTAGTATCCATGGGTGTGAAACTCTGGCACTTTGGACAGGAGGTGGGGAACCCTCCTTGGGGGAGCAATTAAGCCGACTTCGACTTTCAATATCAGCAACTGGCTCTTTCAAAAATTATTGAAGTAAATTCCCAATGGATACCTTCTTTAACAATTAAATAATTTTAAAAATTTTCAATTGGTACGACTGGTTTTCCCGCCTTTTACCGCCATATTTTTATCCCCGAGAGTTACAGGCCCCTGGTAGTATCTGGAAAATTGTCCTTTCTCTTCCATACCGCAAGCGCCTAGGAGTAGACGAAGCTTGAGGTTGGTTGGTACGCGTGGTTCGGACCGGTTTGGATGCGAGCGCCAGCAGCATCGCCTGCGCCATTAGGCCAAGTGTACTTTTAACAAATTGAAGGATGCTTCACGCTGCGCTGGCGCTGCGTTCCGGCTACGCTGCGGTAGCGTCCAGGGCTCAGGGCTGCGCAGGGCTGCCACCACACCGCACGGACATGCCGAAGGGCAGTGATGCGGCGCCGAGAGTCGTTGTCGAACGTTGTCGTCGCTCTGTCTCTCTCGCACTCAAGCGGCGCGCCGTAGGGGTGGGAGAGAGACAGAGCGACGGAGTGCTTTGCGGCGTGCTGGGAGTTCCCTTCGGCGGTGCGAGATGAGGCAGGCGGCGACGTCGGCCCAAACACCACCGCCCGGCGTGGCGCCGCCAAAACTCTGCATATGCAAGTGGTGGCGCGGTGCTGCGCAGCGCACGGCATGATGGGGTCTTAAAAGAATACGACTCGCGTAAAGGGGAAAGGGGTATGACACAGTGTCGCTCTCGATGATGATGCTCCGGAAAGTGCTCGGCGTGTAATGGTGTCGGACAAGTGGCGGCCCGGCGGCCTGCAGACTGATTCCGAGAGTCGTTGTCGTCGCTCTGTCTCCCCCGCACCTATCCGGAACGCCCCGTGAGAGGGAGAGAGACAGAGCGACGAAAACGGCTCTCGGCATCAGCCTGCTGGCGGGCGGGGCGGGGACCGGGGACCGCGGAGTGGACTGGACGGGAAGTCCCGGCGTCGGCGCCAACGTCACGCCAAACGAGCCGCGCCGGCCAAATTGAAAATGGCATTCCATTTTTCCGGGTTCCGCTCGTACTCACCCTCATGGTGCCGGGGGCGCGCCGTCTCGGCTGCATCGTCAGAGCAGTGGCACTGCCAGTGGGCCGAGCCTGGGTGCTAGACAAGGACAACTCGTCTTCCTCTCGCGTCTCGGGAGACTCGGTTACATGTCACTCGCGCCTCGCACCCCTCGCACGGCGCGGCCGATCCGGGCTTCCAGGACGCCCGCTACAGACCGACGCACGCGACACGACGGCACCGTCCAGGACCTCGTCCACTTGGCTGCCCCGGAGCGTTTGAGCGTAGTTTGGCCGCGGGTACCTCTGTCCGCTCCAAGACGGGGCAGCCGGCCGTCCGCTCCCCGTTCCGACTCCGCCGCGGGACGGCACGGCGCGCGGCACGCCACGGGAGGGGAGCCCCGAGTCCTGTCAAGTCGCGAGGCGAATCCCGCGGGAAGGGCGGGAGAGGGGGACGGGACGGGATTCTGGACGGGACGGGATGGGACGGGAGGAGGGGGCAGTCCGGCTCCGGCACAGCGTCCCGTCCAGCGTAGCGTACACCTGCGCCTGTGCCGCGCACGCTGCGGCCGCATCAAACGGACGCCCGGTGCGGAAGCGGTGTGTTTTGGCATTTTGCCGCACTTTGCTTCATTTCAGGCGGGTAATTTGGAAGTCGACCGTGCTACGCAGCAGGTTGATTCAGAGCACTGCTTTCGTCGCCGTCTCTCTCGCACCCTTGGAGGACGCTCCATGCAGCTCCACGAGGGCGAGAACGACAGAGCGAATGTCATGTTGTGCAGTGCAAGCATGGCAGTTACCGGGCCCGAACCGGCATAAGATCAGTTGTGGTCTAGCCTTTCAAGTCAAGTCAGTCAAAGCATCCTGTAGCGCCTGCGAGGTAGGCCAGTAATCGGTCCAGCTACGCATCGGTGTGAGGGTGGTGGCCTATCCCGCCCCTGCCATTACCATTGAGGGCTAGACCACACATGATCGTATGCCGCTTCCCGCCCCTACAGTGCTGCTGCCATTCGGACCCGACCGGACACCGGACACTACACACTAAACGTGACGGATTCTTTTTTTTTCTACGTGGAACGGTTTATATCGGCAGACCGAAAAACGTGAACCCACGCCCAAACAAAACGGGGGACGTCTTGGTTACAGCAGCCCAGCGTTTTGCCAGCCTGAAGCTGGCATTTGGAAAATTGCTTTAGAGCAAATGGATTGAAAGGAGGCTGACCTCAATATGCAACACTTTGTTTCATGACCATACAAACATATACTTTTATTCATTTGAATATACATGTACAACTTTACATATGAATATATATATTCTTTCATATTATATCGATAACAACTTTATAATTAGCATGTTAACTGTGACAAATTCCTTCATGAGCCCAGAGGCAGGATTTGGCCATTTCTTTTTTGTCCTTAGCCTATTCGAAAAGGAACTTTTACTATTCCTTTCATAGAAATGGAGAAAATGATTCCAAATATATGAGCATATACACACAATTGAATTGTACTAAAATAATACAAACTTCAAGGCTTCTCTTGCAGGTAAAAGTATCTGTCATTTGAAGGCTATCCCTTTGTCACAGGTGATTAAAGCAGAAAATCTAAAGTAAGAGATACTTATACCAAAAGCAAGGTTGACATCATGAGATAACACAATTGCTTACTCATATATTGAGAACATTAGATCCCATACACTACACTTACTTAAGCCACCAATCAAGACATCAAACAAGATTGACCAATGCTAACACACCATTTCAATTTTCTATCATTCTCTTTAAATTGTATACTAGAGTGATACTAGCACATTCAATAAGGCCATTCTGCATTATCACATTGATGAGAGGAACGTTTTCCACATAAGGAAAAACTGGCCTCATGAACAAACATGAGTTCAGAGATCAAAACACTTGAAAATGAAGAAAATCATGTCCAGATGATATTGGCCAAGAAGAGCTATGACCACCCTAATGACTTCATTACAAAAAAAAGTGATGAAAACATATCTTCCAAAACTAGGAGACAAAACCTCAGAAGTGTGTACAATGCAACAACTATTATTTGTCCTAAGAAGCACAGAAAATGCAAAAATAATTTCCATATCAGTCACAAGTGCTCTATTGCTAGATCTCAATACTAAAAAACTTGGTCCACTCATAATTATGAGCACCCAACAAAAGACAGAAAAATATCTATAGTTCACATAGTGTTGATACTATCTTTGCACATCTGAAACAATCATAAAAAACATCAACAAGCATAACAACATCGCTTCTTAAGTGCCAAAACAAAATTAAATTTTTTTATAGTACAAAGAAATTTGATGATGTGCTTATCAGAAAAATAAATATTGATCAGCTCATTTAACAGATTGGTAGCTGGTCCCATAACATCACACTCAATCATTAAGTAGCTTGAAAATCCACAAGAATAAATTAGCCGACAGTACAGCATATACGTTTTAATTACAAACATAGATTTTCTGCCTATGTCACTGCAGATAAAAGACAAGTTTTGAACTTGCAAAAGCACAGAAAACTGAAGACTGATTTATTTCTAGAAAAATACACACTATGTGTGTAATAACTGTGCTGTTCTTTAAATATATTGATAATAAAAAGAAATGTTCTGTGTCTTAAAGACGGATAATAATTTAAAAAGCCCTACCTCTCCAATATAAAAATTGCCAAAATTTATGATAAAATACATGGGACAAAGGATTATGTGAAAATAGAAAATGATTAAGAATAGAATTATAATAAAATGTAACTGTGTTGCAAACTGTGCAACACACCTTTTAAATTAAATTCCCACAAAATATTACTTAAGTCAATTGGCAGTAATAAAGGAAACGTGGTAAATGCATACCACTACTTACATATCAAATGCAAAATGGATTTTAAAATACAAAAAGATCATAGAACCAGTGAGGCACCGGCCACACACAAATGGAAACTCCCTACTCATTCAGAGGACTAGTTCTACTGCCTAATAATCTAATTAATCGGCATACAGTAGTTATTTGGTCAAAATTAAACTATATTGCCTCAGGTGCCACCTTCTGTGCTCAATAACAAGTATTCAAAGTACACTAAAAATAACTTTAACAACAAAAAGAGAAAAACAATAAAACTTTTGGGCATACATGATGCTTTCACAAACATTACTTGCTTAACCTCTTCACCCTGCTGCGTGTTGTCACTGGTCGTGCGCGGCCACAGAATGACTGACGGAGGCGTTTGGCGGGTCCAGAGGATGTAAGCAGGATTTTAGTCGCTGGTAACAGACTACTTGACCCAGCAGCAAATGATGTCATTTCAAGAGCAGCCTTGAGTTGAACAGCTCTCTTGGGAGTGAATTTACTTGGAGGCTAAAATAATGAGCCATAAATAAATTTTATGTCAAAATATGGAGAAACACAACAACAACCTTCTAATTCACATAATACTCACATGAATAGAAAGTCTAGATGCTTTCAAGTCAACATTTTGAGAGCGAAGAGTGTGGACTGGCATACTTGAGTGGGTGTCTGAACGCAGGACTCGAGAGGAATTGAGGTCTGCATTATTGCTGCAGTTTCTAGTGATGACAGCATCACAGCCATTTGCATAAGATGTTGATCGGATTGACACAGAGGGCCTGAAAGAAAAGGCAGAATTTAAGAAGACATGAAGAAAAAAAAAGAGGAAGGTACTAAACAAAACAAAATCAGAAGCTGTCCGCCTACCTGGCCTGCTTCACCCTGCCTATGGCATTGCCACTGCATCTGATCCATTTCTTTTTCCTTCTGGTCGAGCAGCTGTGGGCATTATTTTCTTCTGAGCCTCCATCTAGGGGAAAATAAATTTATAATAAAGACATAATTGTGAAAGACAAAGTCATGAAGACAGAACTAATAATTACCTGATGGCCGCAACCTATTAACCCAATTCATTGACCATCCTATTCTTTTGTTCTCTTCATCACTTGTCCTTAAATCATCTTCCAAGCGCCCAACAGCTTGAAGTAGTTTATCCTCAGAACGAGTGCGTCGTTTGGCAGCAAGTAGGTATGGGTATGACGGAGTATATCCAACACTCTGGGCAACAAGGCCAGCAGGTAATGAACTTGTTCTGGAATCTAACACACTACTATGACGTCTACGTACAATACCCATATCTCCTGTGGAACAGATAAGTGTACATCATTAGGAACAAGAACAATACATGCAGCTCTTAGACTAATGAAGTCACCACTAACCTGCCAAATTTGCCTTCAATGAGCTAGAGGCAGGGCTTGAGTGACTCAGTTCACCCCCTGTCACAGTTTTGCCTCGCATCCGCTTATGAGAATGGCGCTGCGGGGATTCAACTGCTTGCTGCTCAGGTGCTTGAGGTCTTGGTACTTCTTGATCCTTACTTGAGCTGCCACAGTTCATGGTTACATCTTTACGAAATGGATGTCCATCTTTGCAGGTAGCTGTATCATCTCCAGCTGGTTTCAGAGAAGACAAAGCTTTCTTGAGCAGATGACTCTCTACAGTCTTGGATACACCATCCAGATCAGATTTCACATTCTCTGCAGAAGGCGGATTGTCAGAAGCACTGAAAATGAAGAAAAGAAATAATGAGGTGATATACTTTTACTTAAAGACAGGAAATAATGTTAAAATTTATCAAAGCTAAAAAAATTATACCATGGTTGTTTCTCATCTTTCGCTAAAGATGAGTCTTTCGGGATAGTATTTTTTAATGGGGACTGATTTGTTTTACAGGCATGAGAATCCACTGATTCGCCTTTTAAGACATCCTCTGTGGGCTCAGATAGCTGGGGAAAAGCTGTTGCAACAACTTCCGGTTTTACAGAACTGGGATCAGTCTTCACAGTGGCTGGTAATGAAGGTGAAGACGAAAGAATGGTGGAGTCTGTCGATGCTGGCTGATTTGCAGATGGGACCGCATCAACTGTAGAAGGACGAGTAAAAATTGCCACTCTATGATCTTCAAGGGGTGCATATGGTGGTGTCATAGAGGAACTCCAATCCTTGGCACTCTCAGGAACGGGAGCAGTGTTATGAACCTGATGAAAAGAGAAGCAGGAACCAATTGTAGAATAGAAAAGACAATAAACAACAAGAGAGAAGTTCCATTGAGACATACCGGATCCACATTAGTCTGTGGTGCACTTGCACGTTCTCCTCTCCTCTGGACTCCAGGCGGATCAAACAAAAGGGTCACTGCACTGGTATTGTCAGCACGGGCACCAAATGTTGCCCATCGCCTCAACGCTCTATCAACCAAACTTTTAGAAGGATTCACCCACATTTGATTCTGCAATTAAAGTGTGAAATTTAATAAAGCAGTGATAAATTAAAATAACTTCAGATGAGAAATGAGAATTAGTTGAAGTGAACAAACCCTAGCTGTGGCAGGTTGACCTGAGAAATAAACATTTTTCTCATTGTGCTGTTCAGCAGCTTGCACAATAAGGACACCGTCCTCGGGGTTTAGCATATTCCACAGCCCGTCAGTTCCAAAAATTAAACACCGATGCGATTCCACATCAATGTCAATGACATGTACATCAGGATGAGGTGACACAATAAATTGATCTTTGTCAGAATTGTAGCTCCACAAATCCCCTAAAACAAAATTGCAAAACAATATATAATTATTGACAGGTCAAATGTCAAGACAGGGCGTGACTAAAATAATAAGTAATTAAATTACTCCAAAACAAATAATAATAAAACAAAACAATGCAATACCTAATGAACGAGCAACTGCTAAGAAAGGGATTTCATCAATTGGAGTAGATCGTCGCACAGGACCTTTGTGTCCAAGGCGAGGCCTGTTCCACACTACTCTGGGGACTCCCGATTTAGCTACAACTTTGCCACCAGAGCTTTCAATGCGGGCAACTTCATAAGCATCTTCAGGCTTATGGTCCTTTGTCAGAGCTTTGCCTGACCATTCTGAAGAACCTGAGTAAACAGAACAAAGAAAGTGTTAATATAGAGAAAAAAAAGTTACATCATAGCAAAGGTTACACAGTAACCATCAAAAACAAGTTTACCTTTATTTTGATAACCCAGCACAATGGAGGAATCACCGACATGTCCAATGTAAATCTTTCCTCTTCGGATGAATGCGATTGAAGCTGTAGTTCCAGAGGTACTCGGCAAGCCAGAAGATGTTTTTGGCCAATTAACTGACAAGAACAATTAAACACATGGGTTTTATTCAGTACACCAGAAGTACAAGGTGAAAGTACCAACAAACTAAGGTTCTAGAAAAATCTGACGAAGTAGAAATAGAAGGCTAATAACACATAGGAGATAAGTGACTGCCCATGACAAACATGCAGGATAATACAGTTAAGAAGGTGCAATGGATTCCTGTTAAAATACCAAAAGGAACGCAAGGGAGTTCAACGTAAAAGTAAGTTCCATTCAAAACAAACAATGAAGGTTAAGGGACAACCAACCATTTGAATGTTATGCCTTTGTCGCACAGGCTATATCAAAAAACAATCATCAGGACCCATGGAAATATCAAGATTAAGCGCCAGTTTACTATTTCAATGGCATTTAACACTGGGAGTCACGTCAACTGGATCAAAATATGTCCTTACCTAGCAGCAGAAACCTAACCTACGCGTCAAATACAAATGCTTACCTTGGTCTTGCCACATAGCATGGTGAGTCTGGAGGTAGCCACTTGTGATAGCTTGACAAACATCGTCGTCCTCATCTGACCAAAATCGCTTATCACTCACAATAAAGTTCATCAAGCGATCCTTGGCAAAACGGGCAGCTTCTTTACCACCGTGGCCATCGAATATACCAAAGAAGGCGAATTCCAGCTTGTGCTCATCTTCCGACGGTTCGTAATTCAGCACAAAATAATCTTCCATATACTTTCTGTCTCCCCGCGATCCATGACACGTAACCCTTAAATTTACGCCTAGGGTAGCTGACATTTCGACGGATTTTCGAATTTGCCGTTACGCCATAACGCGACCTCAAGCGGCGCACGGAATGCTGGGAGCACTTTGTTTGAATTTCATTGGTTGGCTCAGCGTGACGTCGAGGAAAGTTTTGTGCAAGCAGAAACTTGCCCCGCGTCCGCGTCGCCGCCGCTTGCGCCACCTAGCGGTGAGCGGCGGCACTTCTACGCCGTCCGTTTGCCTCGCCGTCCGCCTGCGGATAGGCAACCCTCCTCGCACGACTGTCTAGTGTGTTGCCGTGCGCGTCCTTCCGTTTTAAAGCAAACGCTCTTAATAATTGTAGCGCATTAATGGTTTGAAATACCTTGCACACACTGATTAAGCTGTCATTGGGCTGCCCAGCTGGTCTTTCGACCGCGCGCTCTTCAGCGTCCCGGCAATGCCTTGCCTTCTGCTGCCCTGTCACAACAAACAACAACAGGGTACGGGGCTTCTGTTCCATTCATTGGTTCATTCATTGTGAGACTTCTGCCCGGCTCCTGCTGGTCTACCAAGATGCCTGTCGATATCAACAGACTGACTGATGGCTGGCTGGAATTGGAGAGTGATCCAGGTACTACCGAAGTGGAAATTTTAACCTTGCTTTTGGTTGTTTCTTGGACGTCACCGTTTCACTCCAATGCTTCTGTTGCATTTTTTTTTGCAGGCCTATTTACTCTCCTCTTGGAAGATTTCGGAGTGAAAGGTGTTCAAGTTGAGGAAATTTATGATCTGCAAAAAGCAATGGAAGGACCGGTTTATGGATTCATTTTCTTGTTTCGATGGATTGAGGAGCGAAGGTCAAGACGGAAAATAATCGATCAAAGTGAGACGTTTGTGAAGGATGATGAAGTGGTGAACAGCATTTTCTTTGCTCAACAGGTACATTTTTTTTTTACTCTGAGTAACCTGTCACTATCTTTTCAGCACCTGTAAACCAGAGCGTTTTTCTTTACAGATGGTTCCCAATAGCTGTGCCACTCACGCATTAATTTCCGTTTTGCTGAACTGCCCAAATATTCACCTTGGTGGTACCCTCACTCGTTTAAAGCAGCATACTGTTGGTATGTGCCCAGAAAACAAGGGATGGGCTATTGGGAACACCCCTGAACTAGCATCAGCACACAATTCACATGCCATGCCTCAAGCTAAACGTCGCAGAGATAAATCCATTGGAGTTCCTACTGGACGGTCGACAGGGGATGCTTTTCACTTTGTCAGTTATGTTCCGATCAATGGAAAGCTGTTTGAATTAGATGGACTCAAACCTTACCCAATGGATCATGGTATGCTCTAATTACACTCTGGGAATTATATGTATAACAATATGTATATACATCAATTTTTTTAACAAAAACTTTTTTGTTTAATTATTTAGGACCTTGGTCAGAAACTGAAGATTGGACAGAAAAGTTCAGGAAAGTTATTACAGACAGACTAGGAATGTCATCAGGGGAACAGTACCATGATATTCGCTTTAATTTAATGGCAGTTGTACCTGACAGGAGACTTGCCCTCACACACAAGCTCAAAATGTTGAACACAAATAGGTCAGTGCAATTTTTATGAGATATTTTGCTGATTTAAAAATTTTACTTTTGGTTAATTACATTTTACATTGTTGATTTCAGGCAAATAGTTTCAGAAGCTTTGCAGCAGGTGGCAAAATTAAAGAAAAGGAGTTTAAAGGAGAAAGAAAAGACTGCAGCCAAAGACAGAATTATTACAAAAATTAAGGAAGAGGAAAGCAATGACTCTATTTCAATTGCGGAAGCTACAGATTCTGATGTGCCCAACAATTTAAATGTGAAAATTGTCATAGGTAAAGGGACATTTTTGAGATCCAGTAACTGCTTACATAATCTAAATCTAAGTAGTCTGTTTTAAATTTCATTTTCAACTTATTTGATGAGCCTCTTTGCAGGTGGTGATGACAGTCCTATTCCAAAAGAAGAAAGGTAGTGTGAAGTCAAAGTCCATAATCCAAGTTTCTCTCGTCTTTTGTAGTTAATCTATAATTTATTTGTGTTCCATGTACTCTTTCAGCTCCAAAATGGATGTGGAAGAAGAAAAGGCCAAACCACAAAGGGACTACACTACACCATTGACTATTCAAACATCCCTTTCCCCTAGCATAAGCACAAGCTGCACTTCCAGTACTGACACAAGCTCTGAGGTGGGCTCGGCATTCAACAGTCCTACAACAGGTAAATCCCTGGTCCCTGAGGCCCTTTGCCTGACTCTGAGCTGGGTAAATTATCAAAGTTATCTCAACTTCATATTTCACAGGTTGGGGCTGGAATTCCGGTCAAAACAGTCCCAGTGCATCATTGTCCCCATCAGGTATTCCCTAAGGTTTCCCACAAGCAAGCTTCCTTTCCTACCACATTGGCAACAATTTTTCTAATCATCTTTTTTTCTTTTTTCAGGTAAAGCTTTTATTTCACAAAAGCTACAGTCACTTACTGTGCCTGGTCCAAAGCTTATTACTGCTTCTGGCCTTGCTAAACCACAGTCAGAAGTTCCTGAAACTTCAACAACACAGCTTTGTGGAACCACTGTCCCATATACTCCCCAGCAATTTCAGGCCCCACATGCATTTGCTCCTCAAGATTTGCTTGCACTTCTCAAGAATTTAGAGGCAGAGATCAGTGTATGTCAAGCCAGTCTGAGGGATGAGAACGAGAAACGGAAAAAATACAAGGCAATTAACACTTTGTGCTAAACACAGTTACAAGCAGTAAGAGCCCTTCGAGATAATGAAAACAAATTTTCATTTCACAGGTTGATGACAGCCGAAGAACTCACAACTATGATGAGTTTATCTGCACTTTTCTCTCCATGTTGGCAGAACAAGGTAAACTTGCCAGCCTGGTGCAACAGCATCAGCTTCACAGCAGCAAAAAAGTTCTTGTGTCCAGGTAAAACACCAGTTGTTTAAGTACCTCCAAATTTGTCAACAACTACCCTAGTTAACAAAATCTTGTGTTTCTAGGGTCATGAAAAAAACTGAACCCAAGACACAACCAATTTCTAAAAAGAAGCGCGGACGGGCAAAGAAGAAGAGATGAGCATTCTAGGTGGCTGTACGAAATGAGTAGGAACCATTTGATTTTGTTGCTTATTAAAATGACAGCAGGCCTTGTTTGGGCAGGATGATTATTGTAAAATTTCACTGGTATATTAAGTTAAGGTGAAGTTCTTCTGGAAAATGTACATCTCTTTGAGGTGAAGATGGCTGTGAAAGATTGAGGGCAAATTGTAAGTGAACTGTTACTTAGCAGCAGGAGTAAAGGAAAAATGAGATACTTCAATGGTATTCTCTTTTGTATGAAATTTGTATTTTTGGACGTAATGGACCCAAATTTTTTATCACAAACTCATTGCCAAACCTCATCAGAATAGCGTTTGGATAACCAACTTTAACTATACCGAATCATACATCAATGAGTGAGTCACAGAAAATTCAGTAACGGAATACATGGTGAAGCACTAAGAAAATTAACAAAGTAGCCAGTATGGCACAACAATTAAATAAGTAATACAAAAAGGAAAGGAATGTGCTTCAAAGCAACAACACATTGAGACCTAGATGGGTGGAAGTAATTAAAATTACAGAAATGAAACCAGTTTGTGCATTCATGCAAAAGAGCAGAAAGATAGCATCTTAAAATGTAAAATAATCTTAACAAGCATCTACGACAGGCTTGAAACCACATAATCTGAATAGAGGACTAAAATCAACAGATCAAATTTCTTCAATTACAGTAGGGAGTAATATGTAGCAATAAGATCTTAATCGCATCTGTAAGAAATCAACAAAAATTGAAAGTACCAAAATACTATGCATTATACATATGGATATTAACTGAATGGCCAGCGGTACTATCAAAGTCAGTACACCCACCAACTAGAAGTAACATTTTAGAATAACAAATTTCATAAAGGAATGCCAGAAACAATGGAAGAATTAATGTTGAATAATGTTAAAATCACTGCCAGCACTACTAGTGTATGATATTGCAGGCTTTCAAGATCATGGTGGGAACATAACTAAAACTACCACAGCTCTCCATCTTTTTCTTTAGCTGGTACTTCTATCACTCGAGGCTTGTCAATGATACGTGCTGTGCGATTTCCTTTCTCAACAATACCAATAATCCAAGCCTGATAACCTTCTTGCTTTTCAATGTCTTTACAATAGGCTGCCGCTTGCTCTCTTGGTAAACAAATCAGCAGTCCACCTGAAACATCAAGAATTAAGATAATGTTTTGGAATCAAAATGCAATTTGCATGTAATGCCATGCGAGGTGTACAAACCTGAAGTCTCAGCAGAATGTCCTTGTAACAGCTGGAACATGTTACCACAAGCCTTTGCAACAGCTGCCATTTTTGCTATTACTGGGAGGTTGTGGATAACAAAGGAAACTTCATTCTTCTGATGTTTTGCTAAATTTTGTGCATGGCCCAGCAGTCCAAATCCAGTCACATCAGTCGCACCATGAGCATTATACTTGTGCATTAAGCGAGCAGCTGCAACAATAGGAAAGTAGCATAAGTAAAAGGAAAAAGCTTATTGATAAAATAACTAACATGGTAGAAAAGAAGTTTTACCGATTCGGTTTAGCCTGGCCATTGAATCCATGGATCTCTGGTAAGCTTTTCTTACATCATCTTCAGAAACAACAAGTTTGATTCTGTTCCAGCGCTCTGGAATGTCTAACCACTGATGAGCATTCACAGCAACTTGGGTTCCTAAAGGCTTGGTGAGAACAAGTACATCACCAACTACAGCATTATCTGGGCTGAAAAATAAGTAAAATTAATAGAACTGTCAAAATAAGTTACAGGTCAAATAAATGTGCAATACATACACAATGTATTCATTGGGTTGGCACACAGTTGAAGCTACACCACCAATAGTGCACCATGGATTTACAACAGTTTGACCTCCTGTGACTGAAGTACCAGCTTCTAATGCAGAATCCTGTAACACACAGCATTAGTTACTTCAAGGAAATCTAACGCAGGAAATAATACTTCCAATGGAATTGTTTCCAAGAACAAACAAAAAATCTCTTAAGCAGTGCATAAATTTAAGGCCTACTTAACAGATCAATGGTAAATGTCACTGAAACCAAAACTTAGCTAAACCTGCCCAGAATAATCATGAATGAAAATTGAAATATCAAGCAAGTACAGGACACATGCAGCTGAGTCCCACTACTCAAACCTTAAAACCTCTCATGATGAGGGGCACAACAACATCTCTCTCCTTCTCCGTCATTTTGGTGGATACACCAAGCAGCATCAACATGTTGTCACAGTCGACCACACCCATAGCGTAGAGGTCACTCAACACATTTGCACAGGCAATTTTCCCTGTTGAATAAAATGAATAGATCAGATTGAAATCAACGCACACAAATTTCAAAACCAAAGAAACATGAAACTCACCCATCATGTATGGGTCATCTACTAAGGGGTAAAAGAAGTCTGTCGTCTGGACCAAGGATAGCCCTCCATGACGCAGTGGAACTACGGAGGAATCCATACCAATGCCTGCAACAGAAACGGAGACGTAATGAAATAAGAGTCAAACAAATCGTACTTGATGACTCCAGCACGGGTCAAAGTTGAGTTACTGCTGACAAAAAACAAATTCTAATGAACACCATAGTGAGGTAGTGAAACCAAATCAGTTCAGATGGGGCACAGACATGTAATAAGAAAATATCCGAATAAACCGCCAAGACAGAACCAGTTGAGGTTAGCAAAAATCAGAATAATTTGCTTTTTGTGCATAAATAAATCTATTCTGCATTAGCGATAGGTGGGGCTCTGCTGAAATTGAAGTGAGTTCAGATCAGACTTCAGGAATGATGTGTTTGTTGTGATAGCTTTGTTTTTATTTTGAAACTTTTTTTAAAATGTTTGCAGCAGAGTAGGCGCTCTAGCCTGTGGCTGGGAGGCTCTCCCAACCTAACCCAACACTGGGCGGCTGAGAGCAAGGTCAATACCCGTCTGTGGGCCCCCCACGGGCGTCGCTGCAAGAAGGGCATAGCCGGGCCGGTAGATTTCTCAATTTCTGGCCTAGTGCCGCCTCTACAAGGACGAGGCCACCAGGCAAACGGGACCCTCGCCGGCGAGACGCCGGCAAGGGCCCGGCCGGTGCAACTCCAACGGGACAACCTCAACATGGCGTCTAGCTACGCTGCTCTACCAACACTGACAAAATTTCAGACGCTCTACTCACCAATTCGGGGTATTGCCATGTGCATAAAGTGGGCATGTTCGTCCTGGGCATTGTTTTCGTCTTGCTGCAGTCCCTCAAGGAGTTTCCCAAGAACCTCCTGAGGGACCTTACACCCTCATCCTTTTAGGTCAGCAAAACGTGTCAGACGGAACGAAGCGTCCAAGTCATGAGCCACAGGATCGAACGGCCGCCGAAGAGCCATGGCATTTGGATTGCCCCCCAATTCCAGCTGGGCCACAGTGATGGCATCCTGCGAGACAGATGAGGCCTGCAGCTCCGCCATCGTCCTCGGATAATTGCTGTTGGAGTAAATTTTTGCGACTTGCAAAGAAACTCGGGGCGAAGAAACAGCTCGACCGCTCCGCTGCTCACTGCACGTAAAATGGCGTTCTCCCTGCCTCGTCCGCTGCGACCCGGCCGAGCCCGGGCCGCGAGGAGACGCCGCCCCGACGCGCGCTCTGATTGGCTGGCCGTTCCCGCGTCGCGCGCTCTGCCGCTCGGGGGGAGCCGTCAGTATTTCTCCCCGCGCCGCGAGCGCAGCGCTGCATAGCAACAAAACACGCCAAAAAAGGGCCGCCGGGGAAGGAAAGAAGCCTCGTTTTCAGCACAGCCCGTCGGCAACCCAGCCGGGCGCAACCAAAATCTCTCTGAAGAGCGCCGTCCACATGGGGTAAGCCTGAGACGACTTTTCTACCGGTTCGCGTCTGGCCCTTCGGCACCTTTGGCGCGCGCGCTTCTCGCTAAGACCAATCGAGACACATGAGGCTACTGGCCGAGGCAGAAAAGTTCCAAGGCATCAAGAGGCATTGCTTTCCATTTTTCAACCACAGTAATCTACTCTAGCTCGTTTGGTTTCGGTTTCGGGGTGAACTTGCTGCCGGGGAAGCGCAACATTGGCGCGCGCGGGGGAGCAGGGAGCTCCTCGAGCCCTTTTCACCCCCCTCCCCCCCTCTCCTCTTCTCCTCCCCTACCCCCAGAAATTCCAAGCCGGATTAGGACCCCACTTGCATTTACCTGCATTGGCATGCCCGGCACTGAAGGACAATAGATAGGAACAGTTAGCCCAGGCTATGTAAAGCAACTGCAAGGACAAGTCTTTGGGGACTGTCACTAACTGACATGTTGGGGGGCCGGGCTCCAATAAGAATTGTGGGTGATGGTGATATCAGGGAAGCGAACAGGGCAAAGAAAAATCTTGTTTCAAAATAAATCTTAAACAGCTCTTTATTTATTATCAAATTACAAGGAGGGGGTAAAACTTATCTTTCATACCGGCTGGAGCTGCGCCAACCTCATAAACAGTGGACAGACATGGTCCGCAAGTCAATTTGAAATAAATTGATACAGTGATTGGAATCATACCCAGACAAAATATTAATTAATGCTGGTATGATAACAGTTTCAAAAATGTGATGCTCTGAATATGTACATATTTACATGAAATTTGGAAGTATTAAATTAAAAACAAAAATCATGGTATATTGATAATTTTGATTGGAAAATTTTGCTTGTGGTTACCAAGTAATGACAGGCGTATCAATTGGTATCATTACAAATGCATTCACACATACACACACACAAATATATAAATACAAAGACAAACAACTGCCACATATCATTGAAAGTGAGTCTAGGAGTGAGAAATTTGTACTATAACATGGCGCTACTCAACTCCCTTCAAGTCCAAGTTAAGGTTAATAAACTAATAGTTAGTCAGTTAAAGAGTGTTGGTGTAATCCAACTCACAGAAAAAAGAAAAAAAACACATGTACCTAACAATGAATTATTTTCTAACACTCCTTGGCACTTCCAATTTTTTTTTTTTAAATGAAGACAAACAATGAGTTAGGTAAAAGAGGAAAAAAATAGCTGAAGAATAACAGAAGAAAATCTGACAATAATTACAGTTAATGTAGTGACTAAATAACAATAGTACATGCTTCTTTCCTGCAAATGAATGTTCAACTTAAATGCAAAGATCTAAATGCTTTTAATAATCCATTGATGAATCATCTGGTAAATCCATTGCATCATCATCTGGGAGCGGTACCTCAGATGGCAGCAATTGATATGAAGAACTGAAAAAATAGAAATGCAGAAAAAAATGTTAATTTTTCCTTCACCCAATTTTCCATCAAGATGAAACAGAATTTTTTTAAAAAAGTATTACCTTCCTGGTGAAAGCAAATTGAGATCCATAGCACTGTTTGAATTATTATTGTCCATTAAATCAGACCAGCTTGTCTGACTTGAAGGCCTTGAAGAGAAACCAATACCAGAAGTGCTTGCCTTTGCCTCTTCATCTTGCTGTTGTTTGAGTTGGTTCTCTAAGTCTTCATTGGGTGATGTTTTACCTATGCTTTTGAAAATGGTCTCTCCTGGAGGCTTCCATAGTACCAGAGCATTGGTTGGCCTCTCCCTGGAAATTATCATTCTCATCACTTATTCTAATAATTGTGATAATGATCCATTTCAATCATTCAATACTTACACTTTATTCAGTAGAGGTGATGGAATAACAGATGATTCTGAAATAAGTTTTCTTAATTGCTCACATAAAGATACAGTCCTGTCTTTGCCGTCAAGGGCTGTTTCTACAGAAGATGAAGATGAAGATGAGGATGACATATCTAGTACTTCTGTTGAGGTGGTTGATGTTGATTTTGGCAATTGTATTGACATGGGTTGATTACTACCAATCTAGGAGAAAATAAGGAATAGGAAATTACAGTAAGCGTCTGAAAAAAAGGTTATTTACTTTTAAAAACCAAGATTAATAATATTTACAGAATTACCTGATGGGAGACATAGCTGTTGCTGATGTGTAAACAATTAAGGTTTTCGGCCATTTTCTCCTCTGTAATGAGCTGCTTTGGAGGAGGGCAATTGCTAGAGAGAAAGAAATATTTGTAGATTTAGCAATCTATATTGTGGGTCAGTATTTAAAACAAGGGAACATGTATTAACTTACTATTCAATTTCACAGTCCCAACTTTTTCTTTTGGATTGTGTCTTAGAAAGACTCTGAAACTGAGTACTCTTGATGTCTGGCACTGGTGCTGGTGCAGTCGGAACAATTGGGGTAATTGACGTGTCACCAGTAAACCTGCAAATCATAATAAGGAAATATTCGATTTTCAATCTACAGATAATAAATTGGGCATAGATGATTGATTTCAATGATAGTAAAGCCTTCATCAATTTTACCTCATGACTGAAGGTTGATCAGAAGTTGGTATGCCCCAGGGCATTTGCATGGGAGGAGTATGAAGCCATGTCGAGGCTGGGTTGTTTACTAAAGGGACAGGCTGGTAGGGCTGTTCCACGTCAAATGAGGAACGACCGTCAAACATTTTGGCAAGATGCGTTGTTGGACCACAAATAGTTAGAACCTGAAACACACACCAGGCTGCTGTTATAAGTGTTATATGCAAATAGCACGTTCAAATTGGCTGCCTCGAGGAGTACTTGAGTGGTCATCTGACATAACAACGTAAATTCATAGGGAATCTCGTAGTAGATGCACTATTATGTCCGATAGCTACAGACTTGACACTCTAAATGTGAGAATTTGCTGGAAATTGGACATAAATACTAGTCCAATTCTAACCTAACATTAAGTATAATCATTAAATAAGATTTAGAAATAGAAAATTCACTTATTTAATAGAAGCAACTTCTTACCCGAGCCTCCTGCGTCGATCTGCTTGTGCCAGAGTGCTCTTGTGCCTTCAGGGAAGAACACTACAGAAGTTTACCAATCCGACCCAACGCAGTCTTGGGGTTGCTATACCATTCACCGTTTCCAAATTTCTAAAACTAACACTTGTCCAACAGAGAGACACGACACATGGAAATCACAAAGAAAAACATAGAAACTCTCACGAATAGGTGACACACAGGAGTTTTGAGGCAATTGTCATGAATTCAGCCCGTGACTGGCGGTGTTTTGTTTATTTCTGCGTTCTCTACACTACTGCTGCTGCAACACTACTACTGCCACCGCCACTTCCCCTCACACCCCTCACACCCGCTCCGCTTTCCCCCTCCCCCCTCCCCTCCACTTTGTCGCTCCGGGAGAATCCAGACCCTTCCAGAATTTTCTTTCCCTTTCCCTTGAATACTTTTATGATTTTATCGTCCTCTTTGAAAAACTGAATTCAATAAAAGGGCAGGTTTAGGGTGAATGCATGTTGTATTTCAGTAGTATTGCATGATTTGTACCGCCGGCAGTACATTTGCACATTTTCGTCTGCTGGCCATTCATTCCCTACGGAGCGCGGCTGAACACGAGAGAATGAATGAATGAAAACGTGCATGACCCGAAAGGGTTGGCGCAGTAATCTCTTTTCTTTAAGCCTCCACCACGTTGCCACTCAGCGTGCAGGCAAGAAAGAACTTGCTCAGCATTTCACCTTTCACCCGACACCTCGGCGTCGACCGACCGCGGCGGTGTGCCGTGCGGAGGCGTCCGAAACTGAAGCGTCCTCTGCATCCATCCTTGTCGCGCTCACTTGCGAAGAGTCACGTCGACAAGGACGGAACGGGGAGGGAGGAGGTTCGGACCCAGCCGACGTGGTCGCGAGTCGAGTCCCTGCTCCGGTCCCGCTTCTCGAAACCGCGCATTTTCCCGTGTTTTGTTTGATCAGCTGGCATCACTCTCTTGCGGGTTGAAAGGCGAAATCCTAGTTCTCGAACAGAACAGCTCTATCGTCGAGTACTGACTGACTTACTATTTGAAGCAGGTAATGTACCAAAGTCTTGTTTGAGCCATAAGAGTGCACATCATGTAACCTATGGTTAGTTTAGGGTAAAGTTTGAATGGTTTTTAGGGAGGGAGCTGTGCAGCAAGATTTACCTCGAAATCCAACTTTGATGTCCGCACCTTCATGTCATACAGTTTTAACATTAACCTCTTTTCGTTGATTCCAGGTTATCCCTTTCCTATACAATGCCACACACTAATGGTCGCATGGGGGGACATGGAGACGTTGAAATGCAGGAGCATGATACTTTTCTTTTCTCTTCGGAATCAGTCGGAGAGGGTCATCCTGACAAAATGTGTGATCAGATAAGGTATGTTTGAAACTCTCCGATGACCTCAGTTTTATTTTATCATTTTGTCAAAAGTGCTAGAATTACGTATTTTTGTACTTTCTGTACCCTTATTTTAGTGATGCCATCTTGGATGCGCACTTAAAGCAAGATCCAAATGCCAAAGTGGCATGTGAATGTGTTGTGAAAACAGGAATGGTACTGCTCTGTGGAGAAATAAATTCGTCAGCTGTTGTTGATTACCAAAAAGTTGTCCGTGATACCATCCAGCACATTGGGTATGTAGATTCTTCACTAACCCTCTTTCAAGATTACTTGTTAATTTATTTAATATAATTTTACCCTGCTCATACAGCTACGATGATTCTTCAAAGGGCTTTGATTACAAGACTTGTAGTGTGATGCTTGCCCTACACCAGCAGTCTGAACAGATAGCAGCTGGTGTTCATTTGAATCGCCGTGAAGAAGATATTGGAGCAGGAGACCAGGGTCTTATGTTTGGATATGCGACAGATGAGACTGAAGAGTGCATGCCATTAACTATCACTCTGGCCCACAAATTAAATCAGCGTATTTCTGACTTAAGGAGAAATGGGGACTTCTGGTGGGCCAGACCTGATTCTAAAACTCAGGTGAGAACTATTTGGATTTTCTATTTGGTTTTCAACCTAATATTTTTTTTTACATTCATAGATATTATTAAAACGCTTCTAATTTTCTTCTTTGTTAATTGTATTGTCTTCTTAGGTCACTTGTGAATATTTCTTTGAAGATGGTGCTTGTGTCCCCAAGAGAGTCCACACTGTAGTGGTTTCTGTTCAACACTCTGATAAAATTGAGCTTGAAACTTTGCGAGCTGAAATAATGGAAAAAGTACAGTTATTTTTAACATTTTTCTTTTCTTTTTTTAATAGTTTTTGCGACAAATTTTAACTTGGTATTTTTACTGTCACCCAGGTTGTCAGGGCTGTCATTCCTGAAAAATATCTTGATGTTGAAACTATCTACCATGTCAACCCTTGTGGTCTGTTCGTTTCTGGTGGACCTGAGAGTGATGCAGGTTTGACTGGGCGAAAAATTATTGTTGACACCTATGGTGGTTGGGGCGCTCATGGAGGGGGTGCCTTTTCTGGAAAGGATTTCACCAAGGTTGATCGTTCTGCTGCCTATGCTGCAAGATGGGTGGCCAAGTCACTTGTGCGGGCTGGTCTTTGCAGGTTGGTTGGCTTGGCTCTACTGCCCATGGAGACCAAAGCTTCGCCCCCGAGTCAGTCCATTTGAGTTTTGTCCTTTTCTCTGTTGCAGGCGCTGCTTAGTGCAGGTTTCATATGCAATTGGTGTGGCAGAGCCCCTTTCTATCACTATTTTTGACTATGGTACCAGCCACAAGTCTACAAGAGAGCTCCTTGACATTGTGAAAAAGAATTTTGATCTTCGACCAGGCAAGATTGTTCAAGACTTGGACTTACGTCAACCAATTTATCAGCAAACATCCACTTATGGACACTTTGGTCGTGAAATTTTCCCATGGGAGAAACCAAAAGTCCTTAATGCATGAGCATTATCTTAATTTCTTGTGATTTTCTCACTTTCCGTTTCCCCTAATGAACTTTGTGTTTTGTATTTTTTTCTCCTTCTCCATTTGGTTTTTTACATCTCTATTTGATGAGATTCAATGAAATAATTAAATCAAATGTGCTGTGTCTTGTTATATTTCTACTACTGGATATGAATGATATTTTTCCACTATCCAGCTCTTAGCAATGAAATTTGTTTTTTCCTGTAGGTGATTAAATTTCTTCTGGATGTGAATGATTTTCCAGCTCTTAGTAATGAAATTACTTTTCCCTGTAAATGAATTTTAAGTGTTGTTTTTTTTTGCATTTTTTGTGCATGTATTGTTTTTAGGGTATTTCTGCATTGTAAGATTTTAAAAGACATGATTTGGTAGTATGGTCCTTTACCAAGACTGTTTCTCTTAATTCATTTTACTGCATATTTTTAAGAGAGAGAATCTCATGCAGGTGGAATTGGCGGAATCCCACTGATTGCGGGATTAAAATGAATGTACTGTAGTGTGTGTCAGAGAGATTTTGTCCACCTTGGGTTTTGTTTTTCCGTTTATTGTATTAGACTAGTATTAGAGCCCTTTTTTGCATTCCTAGAATTGTTAGTCAAACAAATAAAGCATTATTTAAAATCTAAGAAATATATTCAATTTCCCTATCACTCATGCGCTCTTGCTGAAGCTGCTGCTGAAAATGAAGTTCACTGAAGTTGAATTCTACTATCTCCCCTGTGCTTCGAAGGCCGGGAGAGCGGATGGGGTGGGGGCGCGAGCTCAAGGTAGAGATGAGATTTGTGTTCAGACGGTCGTACATGTGAGTTTGAATTTGAAGTACATCGCATTCCTGACAGTGATGGTTCGCTTTAAGAACAGGTAATTTAAGATGCTCTCAATGGCACACCGTTACTTTACGCTGCCGTCATCCAAGCAGGTGGATGGAAACATGAGTTGATTTTCTCTTACTGCAACATAACCTACACTTGCACGGCGGTTGTTTTGATGTTTTCATTTCAGGTACATAGCGGTTGAAGTAAATCCTTTAGGGGTGTCTGGGACCAAGTCATACGCCCTGAGTCAGAAAGATTTGCACTTGTCTGTCGTGAGTGCCGTCCAGACATTACATGGAGATTTTGGTGTAGCAGCAATAAGCAATGGATTTACAAGTATGTAAACTACTATGTTTACGTTTCTTTGTCTTTTGTGTTACTGTTTCAGTTCATTCATTATATATTGTACATTTATTTATTCTAGCAAAGTATTGTAATGAAGTAACAAGAATAGCACTAATACGTGTGAGACATGGTCCGCATCGAATACTTGCGTCAACACTGCCATGTGTAACACATGTGGGACACAAGCCAGCCACTATGCGGACTATCTTCATTGGAGCAACTTTAAAGAAGTGTTTCTTGTTTCTCCAGGTATTCATATTCATTAAATAACCTTGAACCATTAAAAGCAGTTGCTGGACTGGTAGTCTAATTGATGGTTGTCACTCTTTTGGTTTCAGCGGTATCAGCGTTCTGCACTAGACAAAATGTGGGCTATGCAACGGACAGACGCTGAGCGCCAAGCATTGGAAGCTGCTGTGATGGACCTGACTGCCCTTGATGAATGGACAGCGAAACGTACTGAAGTTGACACCAAAAAGACTCAATTATGAGCATGTGGAGCTTGGCTTTTCATGACTGTAAATGAAAAAGGTACTTAGATTATATGGTAATAAATTTTTGTTCATATTTTGATAAAAATTATTGCAGTATTTTTTCAAAACCCTCTGGGTCTTCTGGATGGAGGCATTAATTGGAGGCGTCATGGCAATTTGAGGAGGCATCGCTGCGTCACAGCACGGCCTGTCTGAAGCAGTCTGAAGACTTCTGGACATGGCCTCCTGTTTCCAGATTGCTTTTCTTGGTCGCTGAGATGAGACATTTGACTGCTTTTTCGCTAGACTCTTGCCTCAGCAATTGCGGCTCACATCCAACTCGGGAGACTTGGGAAGCTACAGTGGACTTCCCTCCCTCCCCCCCCCCCCCTTCAACAAATGCGGCATGCCTTCCTTGAAGCAGCAGCCCCGTGTGTTTATGCTCATCCCAAGCAGCGAAGCAGCGGGGGACTATATTAGCCACCACTGGAGGATCTGCAGACTGATTCCGAGAGTCGTTTTCGTCGCCCTGTCTCTCTCGCACCTACAGGGGACGCCCCATGAGTGCGAGAGGGACAGAGCGACGAAAACGGCTCTCGGAATCAGTCTCCTGTTCGGGGAATCGGGTGGCTCGCTCGCACGTGCCGCAGCCCCGCAGGCAGCTACCCCCTGGCACTGGAACGTAGGCAACCACTCGGCGCTGCGCGCGCTGCGGGCGCTGCCCCTGCACGTAGGCAACCGCAGCGCGCCCCGCGGCCGGCACTGCAAGCAGTGGGCGGGGCGCGGGCCTCGCGACCCGCGCTCGCGTGTAGAGAGGCAAAGACTGCAGACGGGTTCCGAGTGTCGTTTTCGTCGCGCCGTCTCTCTCGCATCCATGCGGGACGCCTCCTGAGTGTGAGAGAGACAGCGCGGCGAAGGCGACTCTCGGATGAGAGGAGACGATAGCCGGCGCTCTCCCCGTCTCCGCCCCCCTCTCGCTGCGCCGCGGGCCGCGGGCCGCCCCTCCCATTCGTCCCGGCTTGGGCCGTCGCCGTCCCGTCCCGTCACGTTGCCAGTTCACGTGCGACCTTGTTGCCGTTAGCGCCCAGCCCGAAGCCGCGCGGCTAGGTGCCCGAGGTGGCCGTCTCCGTCCAGTCGGCAGTGGCAGCGCTCGCCGCGCCGTTGTCGTACCGCTGGAAGCTCGCAGCTTGCCAGCCTTGCCAGCACTCCCTGCTCGTTGTTTGGGGCTGCAGCCTCTCCCAGTGCACCAGCACTGCTGGCGTCCCTCCGCCCCGCTGCGCCCCGCCTCCGAGCGAACAGCTGAGAACCGGATGGTGGCGTTCCAGTGCTGGTCCATGGACTTAGACCAGGAGCAGCCAGAGAGCCTGTCTTGGATTTCCCTGCGGATGCGCGCGCCGACGGTGTCCTCCGGAAACTGAACGCCACGCACTGTCCTCCAGGATATGATACTGTTGTGATGTGAGTTCATTACCCTCGTATTTTGAGGCGCTTTTTAGCTTGGTGTCAGCAACCGGGAGATGAGTTTGGATGTTGTTTTTGTTTACACTAGATAAGTTTTGTGCCTTGTCATGAAAGCCCTGCCAATTGGAAGGGTTGTTTTCAATTTTGACAGTTTCTATCAATCGGCTAAACAACAGATTTGCTTGCTCATTACCTTTTAATGTTGTTTAAGCCACTGGCATCTGTTGACACCTGTTGCGTTTAGGTTATAGTATCTAGGAATTAGGTAATCACTGCGTTCTATTCTCTAATTTTGGAACATTGAGGCAATCATTTTGATGGGTCATGGAAACTACAATAGTGCTTAATTAATTTATTTGCTGGTTAAGTCAGGCCTTATACAATGTGTCTAGGTAATGGGTTTTCTAGTTTTCTGTCCCGTTGCCAGACTCACTGGATGACAGTAAAAACCATACTATTTTGAACAGTTTCATGCTATAACATTTTAATTTATTCTACAATTTTTAGAAAAATTTAGCGTGAAAGCTGCTTCAACAATTTATGAGTTCACGTTTATACAATTGATTTTTGGGATCTATGTATAGTAACTTTCTCCTAGCTACCACATGTTGTCATGTTTTCATCGGTCATTTGATTAATTGGGTTTATCAGGGAGTATTCATACAAAACCAAAAACAGTAACAATAGGTTGAGACAGCTGTATTCATTCAAGAAACAAAATTTTAACCATTGAATTTTATTTTCTTCATATTTATTACTATGAAATTTTGCATGAGGCACATAAGTTTTTTAAAAATTGTTTGTCAGATAAATTTTTTGGCTTTTAGAGATAAATTCAATTATATTTTGGGGGAAACGGGGGGGGATGCGTATTCTAGCCGAAAACCGTTGAACTCGAAACGACAGTTTAATCTTCTTTTCGGAAATTCGCGTTCTGCGTGACAGTCGCCTGGCTCGGCCTGTGGTGGTGCATGCGTTCCATTCATCCCATCCCTGCAGTGGCCATGACCATCCTCAAAGCCCTTCCCGCTCAAACCAAAGCTGTTTGCTGTTTGGCCGTCTCCCCCTCCCCCTCTCCCCGCTCGTTTGCCGCTTATCTGTACAGCCACGTTACGTCGGGTCAGGTTCTAGTCGGTGTCGTTGCGCGGAACTGCGCCGAGATGGCGAGCATCAAGGACTTCCCCGCTTTCCGTCGGTTCCGCCGCCACTCTCGACGTCGCGGCACACTCTCACGCTTTGCGATCCGGGCGGAGTGCAACCGTAGTAATGACGTCATTGACTCAGAGTCGGGTGACCGTATCGAGACTCTGTAGGTGATCGGGAGTCGGGGGAGGTTTTATCGTGCAAGTGGTCTACCTGCGGGCCTTGCTGGAGCACTGCGCACAGTGGGCCAGAAGACCAGTGGAGGCGGCCAAAACTCCAGACGCGTTTTGAGCTCCAGAGTCGCTAAACAGGACTCGAACCGAACGTGTGACCCCACCAATGGATTCCTCGTTCGGAGAGCAATCCATTGGTGGGGTCACACGATCGGTTCGAGCCCCATTTAGCGACTCTGGAGCTCAAAACGCGTCCAGAGTTTTGGCCGCCTCCACCGGTCGTGCGGCCCACTGTGCTGCGTTCGGAATCGGCCTCCTGGGCTGGGGCCTTGACCCTCGCTGCAGACTGATTCCGAGAGTCGTTCTCGTCGCTCTGTCTCTCTCGCACCGATTCGGGGCACCCCGTGGGTGCGAGAGAGACAGAGCGACGAATTGACTGCTGGAGCCCCAATGCCGTGCCACGGCGCCCCATGCTACTGCAGTGTAGCGATCCTTCCCTCCGCCTTCCACCGACACCGCTGCTTCTCCCTGTCAAGGACGGATCCAGAATCGGCCTGAGGGGGGCGGTGTGGTCACGCGGGCCTTGACCCACACCCCCTTTGCCCTCAACAAGCGCTAACGGGTAGTCTGTCGCACAATCCGCCTGTAAGTAGGCAGTAGGTGCGACATGAACCCCTTATCTTTTCGAGCCCGGACAGCCTACAGCCTACGCGTCTGAGGAGGGGACGGCAAAGCGTCATGTTTGCCTACTTACAAGGCAAAGTGTTGCTTTATTCCTTCCTTCCCTAGGCAGCTATGTAGGGGTCATGGGAGTCAATGTCCTTCCACTCTGTAAAAACAGTGTCTGGGTTTCCCTGGCCCACCCTGGAAATATGGCCTCTTTTTGGTGGGCCTGGGAAACCCGGACACTGTTTGTACCGTGCACCTACCCGCATCCTGACACCGCCATTGTTCCCAGCTTCAGTTTGTCGGCTGTTTGAAATTTGCACTCTGTTCTGCCTGCGATTCCGAGGAGTCGCACAGTGGGCCAGAAGACCGGTGGAAGCGGCCAAAACTCTGGACGCGTTTTGAGCTCCAGAGTCGCTAAATGAGGCTCGAATTGAACGTGTGACCCCACCAATGGATTGCTCTTCGAACGAGGAATCCATTGGTGGGGTCACACGTAAGGTTCGAGTCCTGCTTAGCGACTCTGGTGCTCAAAACGCGTCCAGAGTTTTGGCCGCCTCCACCGGTCTTCTGGCCCACTGTGAGTCGTTGGTTTCGTCGCTCCGTCTTGGTCGCACTCGCATGGCGTCGCGTCGGGGTGCGAGAGAGACAGCGACCGAGCGACTTGCCGGAAGCTCTCGGCTGCGGCGCTGCGGCTGCCCCTTGGGCTGCCCCCGCACGTGGACGCACACGTGCTGGCTGACGGCCTGACCGGCCTGGCGGCGCGGCGCCGAGCGCGCCGAGGCAGCCGCCACACCGCTAGCACTTTAGAGCCGCGGGTATCGGCGCGCGGCGCGGAGTATCGCCGGCGCGCGCTCAGTGATCCCCGGTCGCTCTGTCTCTCTCGCACCTGCTCGGAGCACTCCAAGGGAGCGAGAGAGACAAGGACATCGATGCTAGAGCCTCGTTGCGGTGAAAGTGACCCTCGGGCAGAGGAGTTCGGTTACGCAAGCTGCCCTCGTGGCGGCCCGCCGGCCGGGCGGCGGTGTCCGAGGGGTGGCCGACGTCGCTCTCTTTCTGTCTCTGTCGCTCTGATGCGACGTCCCGTAGGGGTGCGAGAGAGACAGAGCGACGAAGGAGGCAACAGGCGGCACCCCCAGCTGCTTGTTAGCGCGGCACCCAAAGGCCACGCCACCCGGGGAGAAACGTGGCGGGGCAAGGCGGTCTCAGGGAATGTGGGGAGAGAGAGAGAGAGAGAGAGAGAGAGAGAGAGAGGAGAGGAGGGAGGGGGCGGAAGGTGCAGTGGGTCGCAAAATGTCCAAGTGCGCCAACGGGGAGGCTGCGGGGCGGGGCGGCCAAGGTTTCTGCCTTTGACTGGAAACATGTACAACTGTAAGTGCAGGGAGTTTACCAGTAAGTGTAGCCCTGCTTTTGGCCTACTTATGTCTGTGTCACACAAACTGCCTTCAGACAGGCGTTTTCCCAGCAGTATCGAAGTGGGTAGTCCATGATTGTACAATGAGTGCAAGAAGTGGCAGACTCCTTCCTTGGGGGCGACCCATGGCCTTAAGTCGCGTCGCAGAGGTCGCATTTCCTGAGCCACACGGGGTGGATTGGGTTTCTTTTCTTCGAAAGCAAGAGAGAGAGAGAGGCGTTGAAGAGGGTGGTCGCCAATTATGTAAGGAAGGCTTTGGCGATTTAAAGCCCTTCCACCCACCCTTCCCCTTCCACCCTCCCTATCCCCTTCCGCACAGGCTAGGGCCAGGGCGCTTGGAGCAACCACGCAGATTTCTAGCCTGCCGCCTTCCCCCTGCCCTAGACCCTTATGTAATTTATCAGCGTCGCTGGAAGTTACTGCCCCTGTACTCCTCTGTCGTTGTGTCAGCAAAGGCGTGGATAGTAGTCGAAGTGGTCAGTTGGGGTAATTATGAGACACGGAGTAAAAATGGGACAGCTGATTCTTAGTCAAGAATCGAGAATTTAGAACTTGTGCCGTAGCAAATGTTATTTTTTCAATAAAAACATTACATTTGGTACGTCATGCGTTCAAAAATGCCAAACCTTGACTAAGAATCAGCTGTCCCATTTTTACCCCGTGTCCCATAATTACCCCAACTGACCCTATCTGAGGTCAGAACACCTTCAAAACGCAGTCCTGTAAAGTGTATTCTGCCTGCTAATACCGCCGCACAGCGTTTCGTCGTCGCTCTGTCTCTCTCGCACCCGCGCGCGCCCGCTAGGGAGGCCCCATGAGTGCGAGAGAGACAGCGGCCTTCCCTGCCTGGGGTGCCTGGCTAGTTGGGACACGTGGCGTAATGAGGGCCGCAGGTCGTCGCACCGCCGAGGCCCTGCCGCCCTGCCGCCCTGCCTCTGCAGACTGATTCCGAGAGTCGTTTGCGTCGCTCCGTCGCTCTCGCACCCTCACGGGGCGCCCCATGAGTGCGAGAGAGACGGAGCGACGAAGGCGCTGTACCGTAGCTGCCGTACGGCTGCCACTCGGTGGCCGGTCGCGTGGACCCGCGCGGATGCAGCGGCCCAGGCCTGCCCAGGGCGCACAGGCCGGTGTAGGGCGGCAGGGTGCTTCGACCCCCCCCCCCCTTTCTCTCTCCGCCAAGCAGCTCGGCCCTACCCGTCGGCGGCCTCACGAAGGGTTCTCGGTGCCACGCGGGGCGCGCGCACGTGGGGACCGCGCTTGCCCCCCTCCCCCTCCCCCCCCCCCCCCCCCGCCCCCGCCACCTGTCCAGCGTGACCAGCGTGTGTGGGCGTGCCGGCGTGCAGGCCGTCTTGGCGACTCTTCCCCGCAGCGTCGGGTTTCCCATTTCCCGCATGACCCACTTGGCCAAAACAAGTCCGTCAATGGAGTCTATTTCAGCTGATTCCGCCGGTCTCGGCGACGCTTTGAGCGGCTTTCTGGAACACAAAGGCGGCGGGTGTGACCATCCCTGCGCGCCATTTCGGCGAGGCCTTTCGGCGAGGCCGGCCGAGAGCGGAGTCGCGGAGACACACACCGTATTTCGGGCAGGCTAATAATTAGCCGCGGGTGACGGATTTGGGTGCCCCGGGCCGGGCCGGGCTGCATAGGGCCCGATAGGGATGTAGGCCGCGGGCCGCGACCGCGAGGGGGCGGCCGGACAAAAGCGGCCCTCCACGCGAAGGCGGCGCCGGGCCGGCCGGGCCGCGGGCCAGGCCCTGTGCGAGGCTAAAATGGGTGCGGCATCCCTTTCCGTGCTCATTGTCTTCAACTATCTCAGGCTATTGAATATCCCCGGCCGTACGGCTAGGCTGGCGCGGCTGTCCGGTCCGCTCCGCTGGGTCACGTGCCCGCCGTGGCGGGGCTGGCAGGCTGGCAGCGCGAGCCGGAGCTATTATTGCTGTTATTGATATTGCGTGCCGCTGTTCCTGTAGGGCGGTGTAGACGAACACGCTGTGCATGTCAATCACTGGCTGCTGCTGCTGGAGGCTGGGGGCGACGTAACGCCCGGCCACCCGCCGCACAGTGGGCCAGAAGGCCGGTGGAGGCGGTCAAAATGCCTGACGGGTTTCGAGCTCCAGAGTCGCTAAATGGGACTCGAACCGAGTGTGTGACCCCACCAATGGATTGCTCTCCGAACGAGGAATCCATTGGTGGGCTCACACGCTTGATTCAAGTCGTGTTCAGCTTAAAACGCGTCTAGAGTTTTGGCCGCCTCCACCGGTCTTCTGGCAAGTCCACCGTGCGGCGACAGCTGGAGCCGTTCTGGAGCTTTCCGTCGAGGTAGGGCTTTCGCTCTCGGCCGGGGGAAGACCGCGTAAGACGGGGGTCGGGCGAGCTCGAGGGCGAGCTCTAGCCTGGCCGTTGCGTCGCGTCCAGGGCTCTCACTTTTGCCAAGAGAGGTCAATATGGGGGCCGAACAATCTCAAATGTCGTGCTCGCTAGATATTTGTTTCGACATATTTGTTTTCATTGTGATTACCTGTCAAAAGGCTAAATTCACGTTTATACTTCTTGAAACTTTGTCGGGGCGTTGTGGGTTTTATGACTGCTGTTTAAAATGCCAGCTTGTTTCCAACTTGTTGCGAGATAGATTGATTTTTCTTCTGGAGTGTTGATTTGTTGTTGTTGTTGGCCCGCCCCACGGACCAGCCACCCCACCCCACCCCGCCCCGCGGACTCGCCCCCCGGCGGCGGCGCCGTGCCACGTGCTGGCCTGGGAGCAGGCCATGCTGGCTGCGTCGCAGATCAGCTAAAGAGCCCCGAGAGCCCCCCCCCCCTTCTCCTCCTTTCGCCTCTCCTCTCTTCCACTCGTCCAGGCCTCAAAACCCCTCCACTGGCCGAGAGGTAGGCGAGGTGTGCGTGTTGGGGAGGGTTGTGTGGGCGAAGCAGCGAAGCACGTGGTTGAATCCTTAGGACTGCCTCCTGTGACGCCAGAGAGACCCCCCTCGCCTCAACCCCCCGCTCCACCACTCTCTCCCCCACATTGAAGGAAAATGATTCGTTTTCAACGAGTTCGTTTGTTTGTTGCAGCATTGGAGACGGCACCACGCTTCAAAACTACTGGAACACTACCGTACCCCCTTGATATCTTAATATCAATGATCCAGAAAGGTAATTTAGTGTTCAGGCCTTGGCCAAAGAAACTAAATTTCGTCGTGACTGAAATGATTTCTCTGTCTAGGCAATCAATATGGACTGGTTAGCGGTGAATCCCCAATTTCACGGGACGTTTGCGAGTTTGGGCGCCCAAGTGGGGGATACCTACAAAGTCAACGAAGGCTGCCTCGGTAAGTAGCCTTTTTTTTTTTTGGCGGTTCGCTTTATCGAATTGTGGTCGAGCCGTTAATGGCAATAGCATGGCACGAAAGCCTGGAGGGTAGGCCTGCCCGTTGCGTAGGGGTGTGTGGCGGGCTGGCCTACCTTGGCGCCTGATGGGTAGGCCTGCCCGTTGCGTAGGGGTGTGTGGCGGGCTGGCCTACCTTGGCGCCTGATGGGTAGGCCTGCCCGTTGCGTAGGGGTGTGTGGCGGGCTGGCCTACCTTGGCGCCTGATGGGTAGGCCTGCCCGTTGCGTAGGGGTGTGTGGCGGGCTGGCCTACCTTGGCGCCTGATGGGTAGGCCTGCCCGTTGCGTAGGGGTGTGGCGGGCTGGCCTACCTTGGCGCCTGATGGGTAGCCGTTGGGTGGGGCTGGCTACCTTGGCCTGAGGGGCCTGCCGTTGCGTAGGGGTGTGGCGGGCTGGCCTACCTTGGCGCCTGATGGGTAGGCCTGCCCGTTGCGTAGGGGTGTGTGGCGGGCTGGCCTACCTTGGCGCCTGATGGGTAGGCCGGGTTGGGGGGGCCGTTTGGCGCTTGGTAGGGGTGGTGGTGTGCGGGCTGGCCTACCTTGGCGCCTGATGGGTAGGCCTGCCCGTTGCGTAGGGGTGTGTGGCGGGCTGGCCTACCTTGGCGCCTGATGGGTAGGCCTGCCCGTTGCGTAGGGGTGTGTGGCGGGCTGGCCTACCTTGGCGCCTGATGGGTAGGCCTGCCCGTTGCGTAGGGGTGTGTGGCGGGCTGGCCTACCTTGGCGCCTGATGGGTGGAAAAGGGGACACATTGGCCAGACCAGAGCCTTGTTATTTATTTGGGTTTTGGTACTGTTACAGCAACACTATGCGACATTTTGGCGAAGCTTACGATAGAGGACCGGACACTTCGGACGTTCCGCAGAGCCATGGGATTCGCGCAAGTTGTTAAGAAGGTTTGTTATCTCTTCACAGGAAATGTGATTGAGGAGTCAATGGTGCAATGACTCTGGTGAAGGCTTGTTTTGTTTATCTGGACGGAATGATATGAATGATCGGAGCAGAATGTCTCTGTTTATGAGTACAGAATAGTCTGCTTCTAGCGTATTTTATTGACATTTGGCCTAAAGACATTTCAACTTAGTTCATTACTAGATTGGCGTATTTCCTCCATAATCAGCTAATGTAAGGCGGCCGAGCTAACCATGACAATTTACTCATTAAATCATTGTTGCTATCAGTTAAAAATTATGTCAAGCTGCAGGGTTTGCAGTTTCTTAAATGTGTGGTAAACTTTGGTTTTCCTAGACATTCCTGCGTAGGGAAAGTCTGAAAGTTAAGTTACTGTGGGATGTGGAAAGCATTTCATCCCATCAAGCTTACATGCATCTCAAGTGAGTTTCTGTGTTTATAATTATCAATTTTAAATTTATGGAGGCATAAATTTGCATTACCATATCCTTTTACCCTCAGTTTTCACTCAAATGCTGTTTGTTCATTCTTAGTTCATGGGAGATCCATAAAAGATATTCTTGTGGTGTATTTTATTACAGGTGTAGTGTTGACTTCTTGCGCTATCCAAAGGGAATGCACAGATAAGTATGGCGACCCTTCAGGTATTGTGTGGAGCACCTTGATTCGGAAAGAACTCGAAGGCTAAGTTTTCCACTATAGTTGGTCTCTTGGAAGTTAAAAGTTCATTTCGCTTATGTGAAATGAAATAGCTGCAGTTATGAAAGGCTTGGTTTAGCTTGTGTTTTACTTGAAGAGGTATCTAATTTAGGATAAAAGAATAGGCATTTGTCTTTAAATACATGTGTTAAGTATTTGTAATTGTCTGATCATCATTACTAATGCTTTAAACTCTTAAATCCCAAAACAAGCCTCTTGCCTGCATGGTGCAGAAAATCAGAAACTATTAAGTTTGATGATGCATTGATATTGATGTATTTAAGTGCTTTGTGCAGTTTACTCGAAAATAGTATTTTCCTTGTGTATCAAAGGGTGCAGTTGTTTTTCCAACTCCACTTAGTTCCGGCAAAATAACTAATTAAAATGTAGAGTAAAAGGGTTCTTGGTTTCGGTAAAGAAATGCTGTTTCTTTGTGCTTTGTCTGCTTTCTGGGGATCAGCATGAATATGTTTTGATATAACACCTAAAATTTTAAACATATTCACAGTTATTATAATTTTTGCTATCAAAAGCTGCAAAAAAGTTCAGCCTTGCAAAATGTGTCTGCACATTTTGCATTAATGTGGATTCTTACGTTTGCCTGACTGGTTCTATGCATGGCTTTGGATGGATGGATGTATGAGATGTTATTTTGTCTGTTTAATTGTGAAGTCCCTGAAGCATTCCATTGCATTAAATAATATAATGAATGTGGTGCTTTGTCTACCAAAGTCATAAAATTGCACTTCACAAATTAAAATGCACTTTAAAAATACAGCACTTGTTTATTTCTTCTTTCATTTTTTGCCTTAGGAACATTATTTGTTTTGTTGCATTTATTATCATTGCCTGTTACTGCTTTTCTGCTCAAAAGTCGCCGAGGATTTTTTTATTTTGCTTCTATTGTTGTTAATTTAGTCTGCTGCTTGAAATATAAATCCTAAAATATCCAAGTACCATCTTTTTTCAAGTAACTTTCAATGACATTTCCTTTTTGTTGCCAAAAATAATTTTCCCCTTTTAAAACGGCTCACATCAGCATGACTGGCGCATGACTGACGCCTTTCCTTGATTGTTAACCCCATTTGTTTTCCCACTATTAACCTTACTGTGCATTTGGATTAAACAGAAATGTCAGTCTGAAATGCTGGGGCGTGCTGTTTGGTGTGGGTCCTCTGTCTTGTTTTGTATGTCTTTATTCATCACAATGTTCATTTCTTTTCCAGGATTTGTTGCCGCTGCTTGTTGGTGTCCGAGATGATTCCAAGATAGTTGATGCCACAATAAAGTAATCATAATATGCTACCTTAGTTATTCTGCAGATCATTGGAATAGTTCATCTGCTATTATTTGTTTGTGGATTGTTTTCTCTCAGAATCCTGCTCAACGTGACAGTGCCAGTGGAATGTTTGCTGCCCATGGAAGTTATGCTAAAGACTGATGTAGGACGCTACACCGTGATGGAACTAAATATGCTGCTTTCCTCCAGTAAAGAAGCATTTGTGTCTCCTCAAAGCACTCGCCCTGTTGTCGATCACATCAAAACCATTTTAGAAAAAGTTTGTTACCTTTTCTTCATGAAAATGCACTTTGCCCAGCCACAAATCTCTACAATTTGTAATAAATCGTTCTCTTGTGATGTATCTCCAGGAGTCAAAGTTAACACCAGATGATTGTGAGAGTATAAGCAACTGCCTTCTTTTGCTACGGAATATACTTCACATCCCGGAGCATCGTCCAGCTGGTAATGGAGCAACGATGCAAAATCAAATTTTGTGGAATCTGTTTGCCCAAAATGTTGATAAAGTACTTATTCAACTCATGACTAGCAAGTACCAAGTATGTTCATTTTGACCTCTCTATTGGCTGTCAAATATACCAGGAATAATAGTCCTGTATTAAGCTTTGAATTGTCTTTATTTTCAGGCCTATTTTGGAGTGACCATGGTGCAATTAATTGCCTTAATGTACAAAGATCAACAGGTTGGGACTTTACAGAAGCTTCTCAATTTATGGTTTGAATCTTCTCTGAGTGACAGCAGCGAAGGGAATGAAAGTAATACCTCACCGCAGGTATGGAACTGATCTTGTACAAAGTGCAACTGATTGTATGTACCCTCTCACTAACCTGTTGAATCCACTGCAGCATCAGGCTTCTGGAGACTCATCATCTTTGATGACATCAGACCCAACTTCTGACTCCTCCGACAATGGTGGTAGTAACAAAAAGAGAAATCCATACCAAAGTGGGGATAGTAAATGTGTGAATAATGAATCAGATGATAGTCAAAGTAGTGAACCGGGTTTGTCAACTTCTTCATCACCAGCAGCTCATCCCTGTGCAAGCCAGGGAACACCGATGGACAGTGACCATCAAAATCAAGTAATATTTGCATCTGTAGGGTGATTTTTTGCCTTGCTCCCTGTCTGAGTGTGCCTGTCTTAGTTTTTCTTTGTTGTGACATTGGTCTTCCAAATTTTGTAGCATCAGGTGAGACTTACACATCCTCCTATGGGAAAAGTCAGAGTCAAAAGTGAGTTATTGTAATTAGCTGTGAAGATACTAAAGAGGATGTGTCACTAATTTTCTTGTTTTGTGTGTTTAGGCTTATCAGAACTTCAGACCCGCCCTCGCCGCATGGAAAAACATAGTGATGCTGAAAGCAGTCTTGCAGATGCAAGTATCACATTATTTTAATGTTTTGTTTTGGACGTTCACTTTATTTCTAACAATGTATATTTTATTTTCAGGATTCTGCAGGTCATTCAGGTTCCTGGTCCCGTCACTCTTTGCTAAAGGCAAACCAGAGTTCAGGATTTTCTTCTCAGAGTCAATCCCATGATTCGTTTCCTCATGGGAAGCACCACAGTCATTCTCAAGATGCTTTTGGGAAAATGTATGAGCCTATTGGAAAGTCCCAAGAATGCAAATTGCTCAAAGACTCCCATTCAAAACTACATCAGCCGCACAGCTCTGGCCTTAATAATGGGGGCAACCCAACCAAAGCACCTGGCAAGAAGGGTGAATCCGGTAGTGAAGTTTCTGACTGTGGGTATGGAACTCAACAAGAAAACCAAGAATCAAACTCCACTTCAAGCAACGAAGAAGATGCTCCTCAACGGTAGGACTTTCTTTTAACAAATTATGATGAACTGTAATTGTTAACTTCATGTTGACATTTTTATTATTCTAACAGTGTGAAACATCAAAAACCTCAACATATGCTTCAGAAAAGCCGATATATTAATGGGAAGCCGAACATTACTCCTCAAGAGAGAAAAGAGTTGCATCGGAAAAAATTAGTGAAAAGGAGTCATACAAACACGTTAGTGACAGAAATATTTACTCACATTGTATTTAGGTATTTTTATTTTTTTTACTTATTGGGTACCTTGTTTTTTCCTGCAGAATGCATATGAAGGCACTTTTACATCATGTTCCAAGTGACGAAGATGTTTCTAATCTTCTGAAGGAGTTTACTGTTGATTTTCTGCTTAGAGGCTATGCTTGTCTTGTTAAAGTGCTTCACAATTGCCTATTGGACGGGGCCCCGGTACAAATGGACACTAGTCATTTCTTTTGGCTTGTGACTTACTTTCTGAAATTTGCTACCCAGCTAGAGCTTGACTTGGAACATATCAGGTTAGTGAAGTCCTGTTGGATACCTAGGAGTGCTTGGAGTCCAAAATACTATTTTGTTGCATTTTGAAAGTCTTGAGATATTATTTATTTTCTTGTTTTCTGCAATATTTTAGCAGCTCTGTCCTCACAATTGACATTGTGTCATATTTGACCTACGAAGGAGTGAATTTGTATGAAGAATTACAAATGAGTATTCAAAGTTCAGGGAGGGACCTAAAGCCCTGTCTCAGAAGAATGCATTTGGTAACTTTTATTTTATAATTCATGAATTATCATTCCGTGCGTCCTATCAGTACAGATTTATATTGAGGGGAATTTCTTTACTCCAGGTTGTGACTTCCATAAGAGAGTTCATTCAAGCTGTAGAAGCCTACAAAAAAATTACTCATCTAACTGAAGAGGACCGGAACCATCTCCTTAAGTTGCAATGTGAGTCATAATAAAAATGTTGGTCTCGCAAATATTGTTTTCTAAAGGTTTTTCTCATCTTATAATAAACAACATTTCTTTTCAGTACAAATAGCTGAAGTTCACGATCTAAGAGGCTTGTTTGTTCTTCTACTGCGCCATTACAATCCAACTCTACAAAGCCATCAGTTTCTTCAAGACCTTGTTGTAACAAACCACAACCTTCTGATGTTTGTGGAGAACACTGTAAAATTACCAGAGTTTCAAGCCAAAGTCAATCTAGAACAGCACATCAAACAGTATGCATTTTTCTGGGTTGTTTTTTGCTTTTCACATTTTTGCTTTTATCCAGAAACTGCTGTAACACTTTTACACTGTCTTAGGTTTGGGACAATTGAAGTGATGCGGAACTATGGACTTCTTCTAGAAGATTTCCTAAACAATGGAGAGTTTGTTAATGACTGCATTCTGACAATGATGCATCATGTTGCTGGTGACTTATCACAAGTGGCTGTCCTGTTTCAACCCTCTATACTCTGTTCCCTTTCTGGAATTTGGGAAAGTGACTACGAACTGTGTGATGTGAGTTTCTTCTTCTTAGTAATACAGCTGATTGAATAGCCATTTTCTGTAAACTAATAAATATTACATGTTTTTTTTTTTTTTGTAAAATTTAGGATTGGTCTGACCTTATTGAGTATGTTTTGCACAAATTTGTGAGAAATCCATCTTGCAGCAAAGCAAATTCGTCTATGCAGGTCGAAGGTCGTCATGTTAGTCCTATTTCTGAAGCAAATAAGACAGAGTAAGTCTTTCACCGACTACCATCATACCTATTTCTTATTTAATTTAACTTTTTTTGGTTCATTTGGAATGAATAAACTATTGTAATGTTTTCGATAGGTGGACTAAAGAGGATTCAAATAATCTCTATTGGTACTATCAACAGTGTAGTAGCTGTGAAGACCCTATTGAAGCAATTATTAACATGTATGAAAATAGTGGTGTACATGACAAAACAAGAATATCGGTTAGTTTTCAGACCACTTATGATTTGCTTGTGTTTGTTTTAAGTGCTAGCTCTACAGTTGAATTTTTTTTCTAGGTCATTCAACAACTCCTTCAACAAGATGTTATAAATGAGCGCCAATATGATTCTTATATGGAGCGAGAGACCATGGTGAGTATAAACATTTCAGAAAAAACAATGTCTTGTTAAAAGAAATGGAAAAAAAAATGGTTGGATAATTGGAAGTTAGAAATTATTAGTATTACAACTACCTGTTCAGATTTGAAATCTTGATTAAATGTGATGCATACTTACATTCCTTAGCAGCTTCAAAGTGCTTGTGGATGTGTAAGGAGTAGATTACATAGTTAGCTGCTTTGTTACTCTACATGCATTAACTGTTGTAGCCATTAAAGTAGGATTTATAACACTTTGCTTCCTCACTTTTGGCGAATAAAGCATACCATGAGTGAAAAGCGGCGTTCCTCTATCTATTCGGCACAGAAATCTGCGAGGCTGGAGAATGCAGCCAGAGGAGGCAGTGATGAGCGACAAAATCAAAATCAATTAACTGAAGATATGGAGGAAGATAGTGTGGTGGCTGCCAATGACATCAAAGCTTTAAAAGGTCAGAAATAATTTTAATGTGTAAAGTTTGTAGTCATGGTAAAATTTGAATAAGGGTAACTTGAATGCACTAATGCATATGCTTTTATCTTAGATCAATTGGAGAGCGAAGGTCATGGACAAATGATTACATGGCTTCAAGAGCTCTTGTTGGAAGTTTGCTTTGTGAAATTATCTTTAGAGACAAATTTGCCAGCTGTGAAAGAGCCAATTTCTCACATCTACACCAGTAAGTTTTAAAAGTTCTCTCTTTCGTTTTCTGTGTTCATGGCGTACAAAGTGTTTTTAAACCGAAAATTTTGTCTTCTTCAGGGTTACATCAAAGCACCCCACTAGTGCCCTGGTACACTGAACAAGAGCAATGCCTCCACTACCCAACATTCATTCTCCTCTTGCATAAACTTGGCTTCCATCTAGCAGGTGATGCAGGCAAGCTCTTCCCACGAGTTCCTCACTTTTGGGCTACAGATGTCCTGTATCAAACTGCTGAGAAATTGGGGTCCATTGATGAAGGTGAGATTCACTCTCAATTTCTAAAAGGCCTCTTTGGTGAATTATTTCAATGTAATTACTGTTTCTTTCTTCTTGCAGGCAACTTGAAGTTTGATGCTAGTTTATGTAAGAGTGGAGTAGGCCATCAAGTCGATATACTGGCCCCATTGAACAGACTCAGCATGGATTTCACAAATTCAAACACAGCAGGGAGCGGTTTTGCAGAGAACAGTTTCTTTACACCATCTGCTGCCTCCAAGACTTCTCTCTCTTTAAGCCGGTTTACACCGGAACCAGTGTAGGTTTTTTTGAAGAAATCTGAATAATATTAGGTACCGGTTTACACCACTTGGTATGACTGCCGCTATGCTTCACGCTTCGCTGAAGTTGTCATTTTATTTTCGGTCTGTCATGAAGGCATTTATTTCTTTTTGCGGTGTAAACTTTTATCTATGCTGATGTAGGCTTTGAGTCTATATGCTGTTGTAGGAATTTTATTGAGTTCAATTTAGTTTCATATCTTCTGCTTGGTTTCAGGATGTATAATATGCCCAACTGGCTGCAGGTAGTCCAACAGTGTAGAACTTCAAGGCAGGCATCACTGTAAGTATTGTTTTAGAGTAAGAATTGGGTAGTTTATTCATGGCATTCTAATTCTAACTTCTTGATTCTTCTTTCTATTAAGGCTGGAAACATCCAAATGCCCTGCTGGAATGAAAGACAAAACATCAACATTTCCTGTTGGCCTTCCGGGTAGCCCTTCACTAACTTCAAACAAAAACAACCAAGACTCTTCTTCTGTGGAGCGTGAATCATCAAATGATCAACTTAAGTCAGATGTTCTCGGGATATTGAAATCATGTGAACTTGAAACAAATCAAGATATCTCGGATATGGATACAAGCACATAATACTTCAAAATAACACCTCTATGTACAATGTTCATACATCCATGCAAAAGTTCCTTGTGTCCATCCTGTCCTTCAATATCAGGCTGTACAAAATATTAGGGATTTTCTGTGATAAGTTATTGCCTAAACAATTTTTAAAAATAAAATAATTAGGGAGCTGTAAGTAGGATAGTATATTAAATGTTTTGTAAATGTTTGAGATTAGTTCACTAGGTAATGAAGCAGAATGTTAGACTTGCTTGTCTCTATTACTTAAACCCCTCACTCCCTTTTCCACCGCCACTCCCTTTTTACTGATGATATCATATTTTTCTGTCCTATCCTGTTCAATTATTTGCTTTTATAATGGGTGCATAAATCAGTGTGCTCCTGGAAAAATGTATTTGTATTTAGTCATTTTGTTTGTTTTCCTTGTCTTTGAGTTTTTTGCATTTTTGACATTTATTTTAAGCCGGTATAAGTTATGTACATTAGATGCTCAATCTATTTTTACAATTGTTTATTTGAATCATGTGCTGAGTATTGGAATGAAGTACAAACATTTAAGACGTTCCCTGCTGTGAACTTCTGCAATTGTGGACGAAAAGAAGTTGGTATTGTTATTAAATAGTTAATAGTGAACTGACAATTGTTGTTACCCCTCAGTCTCTTTGTTGACCAAGTGACCAATTTTATTTCATATAAACTTCTGATGAGAATTGCTTGTTTTTAGAAGTCTTCTCTCATTAGTGTTTAATGGAGTACAGTAACGCGACTAATCTAAGTTATTGTTAAAAGAACGGCATATTTAACTTTGTTACTCGCAAACTGTCTTACAAGGGATAGACCATTTGATGCTATCTGTGTTTCGTTTTCTGCAATATGTTCTGTACACATCTGACCAAATGTATGTGGCCTTTATGGGTTTTTGGCTTCATGGTTTCTAGCATGCTGAAGATTTGTTGTCTTTCTCACAGAGTCCCCTTTGGAACATTTCTGTGAAGTTATGACCTGTTTGACTTATGATCTTAATTAATGGAAAGGTGTGTTTCATAATTGGGTTTTATTTTTAAAACGTACCGTTTTAACAAATTTTAAGAATTGCCCTCTTGTACTCCTGGAGAAAGAAATACTGTATCCTTATTTTGCACTGAATTTGCTCTTGTGATATTTTTATTCTAGGAGGAAACTTCTGTTTCTAATTGTATTTGTATGTATTACTAGAGCAGACTTTCGAGTGCATTTTACAGTCCATTTTTGCAGTTCTGTTTCATTTGTTGTACTACGCAAAATCTTCTGATTTGTGTTGGCCTTAGCCTTTACCAGATGTCCAATATTTGTATTTGATTCGGGGAGTATGATCAGGGTGTTTGGTAATTTTAAATAATGTTATTGAAATGGTTGATTTGAAGAACAAGCTCTTATTGACTACTTGGCTTTAATTAGAGTGTAAAATTGGGGAGAAATGGTGCTTTGTAATTGATCATTATCTGACTAAAGATTTCTCTAATTAAAATCAAAAAAATTAAAGATTCTTGAAATGTACAAATGTTGTGTTAATTTTCTTCCACCATATACTTTATTCACCTACTATCTAAAGGCTGGCTGTGGTAAGGTGGCCCTTCATTGCCGCGCGCCCGCGGAGTCAAGCGTAGGCCACCCGCTCGTCAGTTAGAAAGAGAGAGAGAGCTTGTGTCAATCGCGTGAGCGCTAGTGAGAAGTCCGACTGCCTCCAGCGCACTGTCGTTTCTCACCGTGGCCGTGGAACTCGCCCGTTCGACTTCAAGCCCGTCGTCGGGTTATTTAAAAAAAAAAAAAAAAAAACTAGGGGCCAAAAAACCTATTATTGGGTTGTATAAGTGCGAGCCAAGCTGTATTACAGCAAAACTTCCAGCCAAATGATGAAATCAAAAACAAAGGGCAAAATCAAAAGAGGAATTGTGGCAAAACATTTATTGCAGCTTTCAAAAACAAAGTCGGTTGCAACAATAACAAAAAGAGAATAGAACCAGGAAAAAATCAATAAAAAAACAGGTAACAAGACGTTGTAATAGCACACACAGGCGCATACAGGGGGTTAATGGGGGTACTTATTCCCCTCCCCGCCTAAGATACCCAAAAAGACACGAAACGCTCACAGTGACGTCATTTTGATGTCAATATGACAAATTTTAGTCAAAATTTCGACCAAAAAAAAGCACAATTTTGACGTCATTTTGACGTCCTTTGACTGTTTCGTGTTCTTTGGGTGTACATACAGGATAGGCCGCCTGGTAGTTCGACGACAAGCACCACTTTGCCCCTGCTCGAAGGCAAAAAGCACGACTTTACCCCTCCTTCGGAAAATCCTGGATCCGCGACTGAGCACCTTCGGATGGAGCAGCTGTGTGGAACAGAGTTCGGCCGTCAGTGCTGTGACTGTGGGCCACCGACCAAAAACACGGAAAGCCCACATGCACATCACATCGCCCGAATCCGAGAGGAGCCTGCGAGGGAACTCGTCGGCCCGGAAGACGATGAACTAAAAGATGGTGCGTGGAGTCCGCAGACAGATTCCGAGAGTCGTTTTCGTCGCGCTGTCTCTCTCGCACCTACACGGGACGCCCCATGAGTGCGAGAGAGACAGAACGACGAAAGCAACCTTCGCAATCAGCCTGCCGTGGAGGAGGCGGAGGAGGCTCGGAGGAGAGTAGAGAGTCACCCCGGCCGCAAGTGTTGTGAGTGTGGGCCACCAGTTTAAAGCACGGAAAGCCCACATGCACATCACAGCGACCGGGACAATTTCTGGCGGGGAGCGGCAGCAGCTGACTCGACGTGTGTCCTCGACGTGTGTCCTCGACGTGTGTCCTCGACGTGTGTCCTCGACGTGTCCTCGACGTGTGTCGCGGCAAGCTCGTGCTGGTCTCGAGGTCTCGGAGGCCCACTGTACCTGCACCAACCTGGAGGACACACAGAAAGCAAGTCGCAATTAATAATCACAGCCTGGTGCCCATTCACACTCGTTAACAAACGTCCAATGGAGCCGGCGGAAGAGAAGGGGAGGGGGTAATACGATTTCACACAAGCAGTGGTGTTCGGCGCGAGGCCGCGCGGGGCTGAGGACGCCGGAAGTGGCGTAGCTTCTGCTTGCGGAAGTCTCCACCAGCCAGCAGCGTGGTATCAAACTCATCGGGCCCATCCCTCCCCCTCCCACCCATCCGCGGCGGGGACGCCGCATTCCTCAACCCCCCTCTCCTCTCCCCCCTGGCCCTGGAGACGAGACGTAGCCAAAGCTACGCATGACGCCGAAGGATCGTCTGTCTCCCTCGCTCTCAGGGCACGGCCCGCAGCGGCGCGGCACAGTGGGCTAGTAGACCGGTGGAGGCGGACAAAACTCGAGACGCGTTTTGAGCTCCGAGTCGCTAAATGGGACTCGAACTGAACGTGTGACCCCACCTATGGATTCCTCGTTCGGAGAGCAATCCATTGGTGGGGTCACACCTTTGATTCAAGTCCCATTCAGCGACTCTGGAGATCAAAACGCGTCTAGCGTTTTGGCCGCCTCCACCGGTCGTCTGGCCCACTGTGCGCGGTGACAAAACGATCCTTCGGAGTCAGAAGGCTGAAGGCTTTCGGAAAATTAACGCGGCGCTGGGAACCGCACGCACTACTAGGCCATTGGCCCCCACAGGAGCCCCTGCAGGCTGGTTCCGAAATGTCGTTTCGTCGCTCTGTCTCTCTCGCACCCCTAGGCCTGCCCGTAGGAGTGCGAGAGAGACAGAGCGACGAAACGACTCCTCGGAACCAGCCTGCTGGTAGGCGCTCTCCGCTTTCCGACCTTGGCTTTTATTGTTTTCCGACGGCCCCGCCGGCCGAGGCCCCGCCGAGCGATTTTGAAGGGCCGTTCCGTCACTCTGTCTCTGTCGCACTCATGACGCGTCGCGGAGGAGTGCGAGGGAGACAGCGACGGAACGACCCTGCGGAATCGCACGACGCACAGTGGGCCAGAAGACCGGCGAAGGCGGCCAAAACCCTAGACGTGTTTTGAGCTCCAGAGTCGCTATACAGGACTCGAACCAAACGTGTGACCCCACCAATGGATTCCTCGTTCGGAGAGCAATCCATTGGTGGGGTCACACGTTCGGTTCGAGTCCCATTTAGCGACTCTGGAGCTCAAAACGCGTCTGGAGTTTTGGCCGCCTCCGCCGGTCTTCTGGCCCACTGTGCGACAGGGGCAGCCGGCCAGTGCCTCGACTCGCGGACCACCAACACAAAACAGAAACAAAAGACGCAGAATCTAAACACGAAAATGGCCGCGGGCCCCAGCAAAGGCGTGAGGGACTCGAACCCGAGACGCCCGGCGCGGGACGTCGGGTGACGTGCACGCCGGGGCTGTGCTGCCAGTGGACTGATTCCGAGAGTCGCTTTCGTCGCCGTGTCCCTCTCGCACCCACAGGGAACGCCCCACGAGTGCGAGAGAGACAGAGCGATGAAGACGACTCTCGGAATCAGTCTGCAGGGCCGGCAGGGCCGGGACAAGCACGGCACGGCTCGCGTCGCGGAGTCGCGGGCCGCGGACGTGGTGTATCTCGCCCCGACGGCGCTGCGTCCGGTGCGGCTAGGCAGCGCCTCGAGTTTCATCTCTGTCTCTCTCACGGCCTGCCCGGCCAGCAGCGCGAGCACAGCCGTCTGATTCCGAGCACTGCTTTCGTCGCTCTGTCTCTCTCGCACTCATGGGGCAGTCCGTAGAGGTGCGAGAGAGACAGAGCGACGAAGCAGTGTTCGGAACCAGACGGCAGCGCGGCCACGCCGCTTCCACGAACGCCGCCACGCCGTCCAGCTCGCGGATTCCGAACGGTGCTTTCGTCGCTCCGTCTCTCTCGCTCCCACGCGGCGGTCCGTAGGGGTGCGAGAGAGACGGAGCGACGAAGCCACTGAGCGGAAACAGCTGCAGTAGAGACCCGGGCCGCGCATTCCCGCCAAACTGGCGACTTGCAACCGAATCACTAAAACGCCCGTGATCGCACAGGTCGGGTGGGATGCCTAGCCGCTTCTCTGCCTCTCTCGCACTCATGGGGCGTCCCGTAGGAGTGTGAGAGAGAGACAGCGACGAAACCATCCTTTGCGGAATCAGAAGGCCGGAACGGCTAGGCAGCGCACCCCCTACGTGTGCTGGCGGGGGGGAGGGGAGGGCCCGTCCAACCAGCAGGCTGATTCCGTACACTGGTTCGTCGCTCTGTTTCTCTCGCACCCGTACGGACCATCCTTTGAGACCGAGAGAGACAGAGCGAGAAAAGCACGGTTCGGAATCTGTCTGAGGGAAAGGCCGCTCGCAGGGAAGGACCAACACACTGTTGCACTGCAGTGGACTTACCGGAAAGGTCGGGCTGGCGAGGGATCCTGTCCGGTGTCCGTCGGCGTGGCGTCGTCCGGCCCCGGCGTCGTGGTGAACGTCGACGACGACCTCGCCCGCCGACGTCGCGGAGTCCGAGTCCGTCGACACACGCGGCGTGGAGCACACTCGCGGCGCGCCGCGGCTGGCGGGGCGGAGGCACTGCGGACCGGGGCACAGTGGCCCAGAAGACAGGTGGAGGTGGCCAAAACTCTGGACGCGTTTTGGGCTCCAGTCACTAAACGGGACTCGAGCCGAACGTGTGACCCCACCTATGGATTCCTCGTTCGAAGAGCAATCCATTGGTGGGGTCACACGATCGGTTCGAGTCCTATTCACCGACTCTGGAGCTCAAAACGCGTCTAGAGTTTTGGCCGCCTCCACTGGTCTTCTGGCCCACTGTGCGGGGGCACGGCGGCGCGGCGGACCGGCGGCCGGACCGGGGCGTGACCGGCGGCGACGGCGTCCTGGCTCCGAGTGACGAGTGTCCGGGGTGGCCGCCAGTCCACATGGGTTCTCACGCGTCGCCCCGTCGGCCTGCCCCGCGTCCAGAGGGCCCCCGCGGGGGTCCGCGGGGACGGCGGCGACGGCGGGAGGAGGGCGAGAGGGGAGGAGGGGGCTGAGCCGCGCGGGCTGCGCGGGCTGCGAGCTAGTGCAGGCCCGGTGCAGGCCGACGGGGTGCATGACTGCAGCGGTCAACTAGAAATGTGCTGCCCTCCGCGAAATGAAAGCCAGGCCAGGCCCCCGGCCGGAGGCCACCGCGCCCCGCCACGCCCCGCCACGCCCCACCACGCCCCACCCCGCCCCGCGGACAACGTCCACTGGACAGCACGGGCAGCGCCTACAATTTGCACTCCCGTAGCGCCGATACACGTCTCGACTACATCCCAGGCTCTCCGGGGTTTGGCACGGACTGATTCCGAACAGCGCTTTCGCCGTTCTGTCTCTCTCGCTCTCACGGGGCACGCCGCAGGAGTGCGAGAGAGACAGAGCGAAGGCACTGCTCGGGACCGAAACGACTTCCCCAGGTGGTCACGTGGTTGCAGTCGCTCCTCTTCGGTTCACGAATAGTTGCCGCCATTTCCCTTGGGGTGCTCTTTTTCGTTGACGAGGAGCCGCGACGCGCGAGCACTCCGGGGCAACGGCCTGCGTTGCGACACTGCAAAGCACTGCATCGGGGCTCGCTGGGTAAGCTTGGTAAGCTGGGCAAGCTTGCCACCACACTGTGGCGCACTCAGCACGTGCAACGACGTGCAAGCCTGCAGTGCATGGGGGCAGGCCGCGCCGAGCTTCACCGAGGCCGAGGCCAGCATTTTCGTTAGAGGCACGACGCTGAGCTTCACCCATGCAAAAGCAGCCCACAGACCTGCTGCCCCCCCCCCCCAAAAAAAAAAAAAAAAAAAAAAAAAAAAAAACCCTAGATGCGGCGAAGCAGCCTGAAAGGTGGGCAAAGAGTCGACTTTGACCCTAAGTATGCAACTTCTGCAATACCGCCCCTGAACCCATCTCTGGATCCGCCCCTGGGCGGTGTGGCGCCGCCGTCCAGACGAAACGTGACAGGGCGGCACGCCTTCGCACGCAGCCACGCAGCACGCCTCCGCGGCGTCAACACCGAGGGCCTGCTTTCGGTGCGAAAATAATTGAAGCGACATTGAAGCAAATAATTATCGCGGCGTGGCTTTTGAAGGGGTGCTGGCAGCCCGCCCCGCCCCGCCCCGCCCCGCCCCGCCCCGCCCCGCCCCGCCCCCTGCCCCGCTTTGAATGCCGCGGCCTCTCGCGGCTAATTGTCCCACAGAGTAATTGGAAACGGCGACTCCACTTTGTTTTCCTTTCTGGCCCACTGTGAAGGGCCTTGCCGGGCTTCGGCGTTGCAAAGGAGCGAGCGTGGGCGAAAACACCGCGCCGACCCCCATCAACTGTTTTAAAGAAGGTGGCGATGGGTTCCATCTTCGACCGCCGTCGCCGTAGTCGCCGGCCTTCTCGGTCGGGCAGTTGTTGGGGACCTGGTGGTTGTGGTGGCTCCGAAGCTGCTTTCGTGTGGACTCAGACTCAGTAGTGGCTAGGTCTACAGAAGGCTCGAGTCCTTGCTTCGACTACAGCCCCTCGCCACCAGTCACCAAAGTCAAAGAAATATTTCTTTTAGCGGGCCGGAGCTGAAATTCGGATCGTTTCTCGTTTCTCGCGCGGCCTAGCGGAGCGAGCCAGTGGCGAGGACGGCCGCCGCCGCGTCGCTACCCCCCGCACTGCACTGCACTCGGTGCGCGCGGAGTATCGCCGCGGCGCCCACACTGCCAGCGATCTTACAGTGTCGTCGCTCTCGCACGCATGGCGTGTCCCGTAGGGGTGTGACAGAGACAGGGCGGGGAAACGCGGCACAGTGGGCCAGAAGACCGGCGGAGGCGGACAAAACTCTAGACGCGTCTTGAGCTCCAGAGTCACTAGATGTGACTCGAACTGAACGTGTGACCCCACCTATGGATTCCTCGTTCGGAGAGCAATCCATTGATGGGGTCACACGTTCGGTTCGAGTCCCATTTAGTGACTGGAGATCAAAACGCGTCTGGAGTTTTGGCCGCCTCCACCGGTCTCCTAGCCCTGTGCGCTGCTCGGATTCAGCCCGCTGGGGCTTGAGATGGAGGTCGCGATTGTCGCTACGATGGCGGTGGCTCACGTGGCGGGAACATCCTCGCCGTTGTTTCCGAGGCGTGAACGGCGTCCTGCAGACTGATTCCGAGAGTCGTTACCGTGTCTCTCTCGCGCTCATGGTGCGTCCCGTTTAGGTGCGAGAGAGACAGAGCGACGAAGGCGACTCTCGGAATCAGTCTGCTGGCGGCACTAGCGCCCCAAGACCGCGATAAGGGCCTTGTGCTCGGGGCCGGGCCGCCCATTACGGGCATTGACGCGGATCCACGCGGATCCCGGTGGATGCGGCAGCGCTCTGTCTCTCTCGCACTCGAGGAGCAAACCTGACCTGCACGGGACGCCACCGGGACGCCCCACGAGTGTGACAGAGACAGAGCGACGACAGGTGCGGAATGACGACAGGGCGACACGCGGGCAGCAGACTGATTCCGGCAGTCGTTTTCGTCGCTCTGTCTCTTCGCTCTCATGGGCGCCCCGCACTGGTGCGAGAGAGACAGCGCGACGAAAACGACTGCAGGACAGGACGGAGTGCGACTCGCGCCTCGATAACGCCGCGCCCCGCCCGGAGTCGCAACAAGCCCGGAAATTTGAAGTCGAATCGAATGGAACGGAATCGAATCGCAGAGATCCGCGAGGCGAGGCGCCGCGCCTTCTTCTGGAGGCGCGGAAACGCGGAAGGATGCCGACGCCGGCGTGCCGCGGCGCGACGGTTAATTCGCGGTTAATTCGCCGGGGAGGAGAACGGGGCGGAGAACACTACACTAGTCGGGCGGGACAAGAGCGCAAAGTTTCGGGCGTCAAGTCGGCCGTGGCGGCGCTGCTGCGTGGCGCCGGCCAAGCTTGCCGGCGGCGGTTATTAAATCGGGCCGGGCTCGCCGATGTGGAATCATTTCCGGAGATGGGTGATGGTGATGACGGTGATGGTGATGACGATAGTGGTGATGATGATGATGGTGATGATGATGGTGATGACGATAGTGGTGATGATGATGGTGATGATAATGGTGATGATGATGATGACGATGATGGTGATAATGATGATGATGATGTGATGATAATGGTGATGATGATAATGGTAATGATAATGGTGATGATGATCGTGGTGATGATGATCATGGTGAAGATAATCATGGTGATGATGATCATGGTTATGATGATCATGGTGATGATGATGACGATGAAGACGATGATGGTGATAATGATGATGATGGTGAAGGCGCTGGCGGTGGTGCTGGCCGGCCCACTGTTTCACCGTGGTTTCATCAACAGGAAAGGATAAAGCCTTCTTGTCCGCTGGGCCGCTCCCTCCGGGCCGTGCCGGGGCGGCTGGGTGCCGGATGCGGACACAGTTGCTCGTGAAATGACCTCCGGCGAGTGTAGTGACCGTCCGTGTCCGTCCGGGACTCCGTAAGTAATTGGGGTGCGTCCGGGCGCCCTGCAGACCGATTCCGAGAGTCGTTTTCGTCGCTCTGTCTCCCTCGCACCCATACGGAACGCTCCATGAGTGCGAGAGACACAGAGCGACGAAAACGACTCTCGGAATCAGTCTGCAGGGCCCGCTGCAGCCTGCACTGTAGCGGCGGCGCGGAGCGGAGTGCCCGAGGGGCAGCTTTATGTTTTAGAGGAAAGCACTCGAAAACACTCCCCCGTTTAAAGGCGGGCAATGACAGTCTCGGGGGAGTACACTGGTTGGACTGAAGCGCACTTTTACGCCTTTCTTCGAGCGTTGCCGCGTTGCACGCTCGGCTTCAAGCGTGGCACGAACTGCATTCACCGTCAATTGACCCGAATGCCAGTGTCACTCTTATACTGTCGCCGCGGACTAACTGACTCATGGTCATTTTCTGCGAACCTCGTGTGCTTTCTTTTGGAACTGCGCGAACATCTTTCAACTGGAAGCGGCAAACTAATTGAAAAACAACTAACCCCCGCAGCGCCAGCTCCCAGCGCCCCGTCCAGGAACACTCCGCGCAGTGTGCGCCCGACTCCGGCGTGGCTGATAAACAAAGTTTAAATAGGCCGGGGCGCCGCGACTGCCTTGGCTACAGCCCTGGCTACAGCCCTGGCTACAGCCCTAGCCTCGGCGCGACCTCCAATACTGGAGGGGGGAAATGCCGCGGCAGAGTCAGGCCGTCAGGCAGAATGGGGTAAATTGAGGCGTATCAAGATGGTTTAGCCGTGTAATTACGGGGCGAGCAAGCGCGCCGAGGGCGGGGCGGGGTGGGGTGGGGTGGGGCGGCGGGGGCCGCGGCGGCAGCACGCGGCGCCCAGCCAATCCGAACCGCGACGCCGCCGCCACGTGGGTGGTGGGGGAAAGGGCGCCGCTAGCCGCGTCGCCGCGTGGCCGCGCCATCGCGGAGATGCACATCGAGGCCCTGCCCGCGCCGCCCTGCCCGGCCACCCGGCAGACTCATTCCGTCGCTCTGTCTCTCTCGCACTCGTGCGGCGTCCCGTGTGGGTGCGAGAGAGACAGAGGGCCGGCCGGGGGCGCCCCTCTGTCACCGGCCTTCCCCGTCATG